ATGCCACCAGCAGCCCCGCCCACAATCGCCCATCAATGGACTCCCGACAGCCAACGAAAGAGAGGCCACTCCAAGGAAACCTGGAGGAGAACCATAGAAAAGAAAATAAGGGATGAGGGTTAGACAAGAAAACAGCTTTACCAACTGGCAACCGAGAAAAATCATCTGGCTTTCTTTGATCGAGGCTTACGTGCATAGACGCGCGAAGAGGACGAACTAGCTAATTAACCACTAGATGAATTCGGTTCTCCACTATGTTAAAATTTTTCCACTTTTTTTTATCACGCCAACACTCTGTGAGGTGCACAGGACAATGCCGTCATCGGGTGAAACTGACAACTGGTGCAAAATACGGATAATCTTGCATCGATTCTATCTCGCAACTTCAAAAAGCGCCGGCTTGGTTAACCGAAGGACTTTACCTTTTGTTCTTCATGTTTACAAATATTTGCTTAGGGTTTAGGGTTATGGTTATTAACATCTCAGCCGATCTCAACTATTAGTTGAAATCTATTGGTTGATAAAGATTTTACAACCACAAAACAAAAGGGACTCAAAAAATACATAAAGGTATACTGCAAATAGTATCTGCCTAGAAAATTTGGTTTTGATTTAATGAAAATCTAATTGCATTGTTATGCAATTTGATTTTTGATCACATCAGCAACTATGTTGCACACTTTATCCAGTCTATCTTTTTTGCATTTTAAAAGTCAATTTGACATTCATGAATTTAAATTTTAAGGAAGGTTCTACTTGGTTTATTACTGAAACTATTAACTCTTTAACCTGTAAGAGTGATTGGCATATAACTTCTCCTACATTATCACCTCCACATCACACATTAAAGAAGGGAATTGATCATCAACTAGAAGGCGCTTGATCGTTAAAAAAAGTCTCTTTGTCAGCACCTTTGGAAATTTATGGGGATCATTATGGAGTATATAAATACTGATGGTCAGGTTTAAAGGGTCAGTGAAGTCAGGTTGTGTGTTAATCAGCATGGCTAGAATCTGATGAAGCATAAAGAATCGTGGTTATCATTCAAGAGTTATTTCAGGAACAGACCTCACTTCTATCAATTACCTGCTTAATAACCCACGCTGAAAGTTGGAAGAACAAGAGAAGAGTTTGTGATTCACGACCCGGAGGCGAGTGATTTACAGACTTTTCTCGTGTTCCCCCAACATCCCAGGGGGGTTATTACGCAGGTAAACTGATTGTAAGTGCATTCTAGAACTTTTTTAAAATAAACTTCAAATTTCAATGGTTTTACAGTCGAAAATGGTTTTTTCTTCCATTCTTCAGATTCACACTGTTCGAGATCCTAACATTCTTTGTCAGGTGATTTTCTTTTCTGGTTTTCTAATGAAGAAAAAGGAATGAAGCAAGGAATCAATAGGCTCGTTAATAGGAGGGAAATAATCCGCAGCTTACATAAAACCCTCGTCTTGTATAAGCCGTGGCTTATAAAAATGGGAATGAACCGATGAGTTCACGTCTTATGTAAGTTGCCGCTCGTATATGCCGTGGATAATTTTCCTACATAAATACCTCCAATGATTATCTTCTATCATTCGATCGCGGTTTCATTATCTCGCGCCGTATCTTATCAATAGACTATATATCATCAGTACAGCTGATAAACACTACCTATCTGATTCGCCAAGTAAATGTGCCAAGTAATAGTTATGTCTAAACAAGACGGTCCTACCGTTTGCGCAGATATTAGTTTGTTGAATCTATTTGACGATAACTTTTAAAATCTTACAATTAAACTCAGAGAGTTTAGAGATTTTTGTGATGGAAGGAAAAAATGTAAGATCCCTTGAACCATCTACCGCAAAACATATGGTTAAAGAGAGGACAAATAGAATTGATTGAAAGATTTCGAAATTTCTGACTATATTCCGATCGGACTCAACAATCGATGTTTTATACTCCTATTGTAAATAATCTGAGTTGTACAAAATGAACGATGCCGGTGAGAACTCTTCAATCTACAGTATCTAAGAATCTTTGGCGGTTCACTACCTTTTTCTTTACTGAGGTGAAAAAATGGTTATTATGATTTGAGGGTTGTATCCACATTTTTATGTAAAGATATGCATCTGACTAATAACAAATTGTACTGAACGGTTTTCCGAAAGCAGAGGTCTACAATAGTATGTGAGTAACAGGAGACTGAATGACGTCGACGGATGCATATTTTAGCGATGATAATGGTCAGTCTTGTGTCACATAGCGACAGCAGGCAGCGTTTATCTTCTTGTTCTTTTGGAGGAATTTTTTTTGATAAATCATGCCGAAAACGAACTTCCAACCATTCAGGAGTGGGTTGCTGTGAAAGTACGTCAAGTAACAGCGTAAATATTGTAATATTCTTCTCTCTCGGCAAGTCTCCAAATTACCGCTCTCCAATAGAGTCGGTCTATGCAATGGTTACAACAATTAAACGAAGACAAACCCGTGAAAGTACTAGAAAGCTTTTTCATTTATCACTCGATTATGTTGTCGTTAAAGAACTCCTACAAAGCAAGTAAATTAATCATAGATTAGTTTTTAACGCGGTTTGCCGGAGACAAACAACTTTTATCTTAATTGTGTCAAAAGGAACCATTGATAGCCCTTGTAACAATACGGAAAGAAATAATAAGCAATTATTGGGTAGCTCTTTATCGCAAAGAGCTTATTAAACGCTCCATATATACTTAAGATCACAATATATCGTCAAAAATTCGTGGGCGACCTCACAGACGCCTCTAATAGATTTTATTGTATCTGTTCTCAAACAAACCACACTCATTGCAATTAGAACGTGGCCGAGACGAGACGATCCGAAAATCAGAGCAAAACCAAGGTTTGTGTCCTACAAAAACAATTTTTTGGTTGGGTCAGCATCAAAGAAATATTTGAGACCTATAGCTACAAATTTAGATCTTACAGTTACGTAATTTGGATTTTCTAAAATTCTTTAAAACTGACTTGAATTCAGTTTATGAAAATTTCGAGAGCGTCTCAAAACGTAAGAAATTCTTTCCACGTCTTCTTTTCTTACAAAACACAAGATTTTCTCGTTTACCTTCTATTTTTTCATTTTTTTCCAAAACAGAGGGCGAAAAATGAGATTACAAGGCAAAAACGAAGGGCGGTTACTGCTCCTCAGAACTGGTAGAAAAATAGAAAGTTCTGTTATTTATTGGAATTTTCCAGACCAATCAGTTAATCTAGATATGATCTTCAAAGTTATTCATTTCTAAAGAATAGCTTTGAGTTGCGTCGGGTGGCAAGAGATATAATTCGTTGACGATAGAATAAAAATTGTTCAAGGGGAATGAATTGCCGCCTTTATCAAATTCGAACCTATACCATTCGTTGAGAGCGAAGGGAACATCCTCTGGTAATCTTGAATTGTCTTTTCGATTTTGCTCGAATTATTTCAAAATTATGGGAAACTCTCCCAAAAAGGCCTTGTAATTCTTGATTGATTGAATTGCCCGTCATTTAGGATAAAAAATTACGGAAAGTAGTTCAAGGAAACCAAAGAAGTTCTTAGACAGCTCACTAAACTTTCTTCCCCTGTTGAAATGCGTATGCACTCAGAATAGCTTCTTTCAATTTGTTTGTTGAAACGACCTCAATCAGCTGATCAGTTGAGCCTAACGATACTCTTCAAGGAAAAAATTTTATATTGAAAAAAATTCACTTTCGTCTTCAGAAATTATCGTCGTTTTTCTATTCAAACATTGGAATAAATGCTCTCTATTAGCGATTCTTTAGTTTTTTTTTTTTTAGCAATTTTTGCGTGGTTACCGATTGAAGAAACAGATGGTTTGGTGTTATGAAAACATTATAGATCTGATGTTTTCCGAACCTCGAAGCTCGAAAAGGGAAAATTAATAATTTATGGCAACGAGGAAAAAAAAAACTAAAAGGTAGTTTCTTAACGCATTGGGTGGAAATGTTTTAGCCGCACGTTTCAGTTCCATACTCTACTTTTTTCGATGTATTTTACAAAAGCTACACTTAACTCGCGAATAATAAGCTTTTGTTTCCAAAGGCAAAACGTAAAGCTACAATCAGATTTGAGTGGGTAATAAAGAAATGAAATTCGGAAAAACCGTAAGCGTTTATTTTCGATTACTTATCGGTTACAATTGAATTTAAGGATAGTTTTTTTGGATTTTGTGGATCGTCTTAGAGAGTATTTTATAATATAAAAGAGTTCAGTGCTGCGGATCAACTTACTGCTTCTCTTTCCAATGTCAACAAGACAACACATCAGTAAGAGCTGATATGGAATAAGCCGGCGAAAAGTCATGGAACATGAAAAGATACTCGATAAAAGAAAGTGGTCACAGATTTAAGACGAGGTTCTGTCCACACAAGAGTCTACCTTTCTTTGGAATTGCTTCTTTCTTTCCTTAGTTTTCCCAACTCTCCACACTAATCTGGCCTTCCGATGTCCAAACGAGGAGAAATTTGATGAGGAACCAGTCATTATTTATTTTCTGAGGATAGTGGGTGGGGTTGGTGGACTTTACGGGGGGGGAGGGTCATATATTTCTCAGGGGAATGGAGGGGAGATCAGTCGTCATTTAACAGAATATAGCTGGGGGACTAAAGAGATTGAGTGTTTTGCTCTTAACTCATTCTTCCCCCTTTAGGAACCTGGCCACATAGGCTGAGGTATTCTGATAGAGTTAATCATTCTTATTGCAATGGAGTGTAGATCACATGTATTTAAAGCTAAAATTTGGTTTTTAAGTATTTGCTCCTACCCTTATCCAGTTGAAAGCATTATATAATTGTTTCGGTTAATCGTTCGCTCTGAGTTTAAGCGACATTTCTCTGTCACCTTTTCATTTCCCCGTATTCTTACGTCTTTCTCATACCTGGCTTTTCTTTTTTCTAGCAGGTTAAGATGTGACTTTTATTACAAAATTCATGACTATTAAAAAGTATCTCGATTATTTATCACCCCCTGATTGTATTTTCAGATGGATAAACAGCTACTCTGGCTTTGTATCCTGGCCTGCCTTCTGTTCCAGGCCTCTTCCATACCCGTCTCGGAGAGCGAAGTTACTCGGGAGCGACGTTCGCCATGTTCATCTGGAGGCTGCAGTTTTCTGAAGAAAGTGAAGTTTTCGAGGCGTAAAAGACCAGGAAGACCAGGAAGAAGACGACCTAACCGCTTCAGGGGTTCCAGAGAGTAAGTCACGTTGACAAAACTGACGCGTAATCCGTTAAAAAAAAAATAGCGCTACTTCAGAATCAAAAACCCTTCGGGAGTCTGTCATCACCTTTATACCATTCACCATATACTATGAGGTTCTGGTTGACATTATTTCTGTTCGCTCAACCCTTTAACTCCTGGAAGAGATTAACTTGTAAATGTTTCGCTTTTAATCCATACATTATCCAGCAACCTGGTAATGAAAATATTCAAAATTATAAGGTAGAAGTTTTTATCTTGATCCAAAACAAATTCTCATAGCTAATTTACGAGGAAATGTGTAGCAGCTGGAGGGGAGAATTAACAATCAGATCTTCAGAGTCAAAGGGTTAAATCAAGTTGCTGGTGGAAAATAACATATTTTGTTAGGGAACGATTGTTGTACAAAAAAAAGGAAACATTTTATACCATTCAAATAGGATGAAAGTTTGTGCCAAAACTAATGGCCAATCGTGAGTCGTTCTTATCCGAATTAATGAAAGTTAGCGAACTGCAGACGTGGTTTGCCACTGGTGAGAATGTGTAGATGCAAGCCTTTGATTGGAACGTTGTGTAAACCTTAACCAAAGCTTTTCTTCACCGAAGGGGATTATGAATAAAAAACGAAGAATAGCCAACGAAGGAAATCTGAATTAAGCAGGTCATTAAAGAAATAGCAACAATCCTAGAATGTAGCGTGAAAATTTTGTGAGAGTTATTTCTTGGATTGGTAATTTGTCAAAATTTTTTTGGCGATAGTGTTTGTCTCCAATTTATTTGGAAACAAAATCCCTCTGCAAGAAAAGGTTTTCTTAACAGTAGATATTTTTATGAGGCAAATTGACGTACTGGTTTAACAAATAGACTTTATTTTGCCGTTTAGGGATTCAGTTTTAAGTTACAGATGGCGACAAAAGAATAAAATAGCACACAAAGTGTAGGGGATTGTCATTGACGCCCTTATTACAATTTTTTTTCTTTTTTTTATTACAATTAACAGGGAAGTAACGGATCAGTCATCAAAGATCGCCTGGAGGGGAGGGTGGCTGGGGTTGGAGGATTTTGGGGGAATGGCATGGTTTTTTCAGAGGGGGTCGGAGTGGGGATTGGTTGTCTCTTAGAGAGTTTCAAGGGGAGAATTTAGAAAATTGACTGCCAATAAGGGGGTGTCGTTAGAATCTTACAGAGCCTTAAGGGGGATTAAGTAAATTGTATTGTTTCACAAAAAATCATCGATGACGTCAAAATGTAATAGGGCAAAAAAATGGCGCACAAGGTACAGCCGAGTGAGTTACTGATGCTCTTACCACATTTTCTGTACAGACCCACTGCACTTAAGAATCAATCGGTTTTATATGATAAAAAAAATAAATGTTGCTAACAACGACGTCATCTATGTATCTGTCGTACAATAGATCATATGTTATAACCAATCAAAATACGCACCTTATTATGTAAACTGTGATAGATCCTAGGCGACGACCAATCACAGCGCGTGTACTACCTGGCTCATTGTTTAACAATAAAGTGACGTGTTTTCGTCTGTCCTTTCATCAGGTGGGGATTGCCAGACGATGACTTGACTGATATCATTGGATATAACGACCAGCAGAAATCCACCGATAATTAATTTAGCTTAACAGTTTCAGAATATTCCACTCTCATCTGATAGCACTGTAGAATAGATCTCTGTGTACTAATATCATATTATTCTGTAGCCTAATTTCGCACTGTAAAGCATGAGTTGTTCACTTCTTTTTAAATATAGAAGTCTTCGTTTTATTAGAAGCTGAATAAAAGTTGTATCCTTAATCAAGCTGCTTTGCAATGTTACTTTTAACCGAGAGTAATACTTTGAATTTTGGTCGATATGAGTTAGGTTTGAATTGGTTATAAAAAGACTGATAATTGAAAATGGTTCAGTCTTATTTTTAGTACGAAATGGATATATTTGGTTTTTGGATGGTTTCAGATTGGAGAATACATTTGTGCTCAAATATATCTAAACAAGCCGACTGTAGTTAATTCGTTTTTAAAACTATTTCGACTAATTTACATTGTTTCTTAATAATTTTAAAGTCTTCGATCTGTTGAAAACAAATGTAAATATATCTCAAAGTTTTAGAGCTCGATACAGCACGAAAAATTTACTGCATCGCTGAGATCCTTGTGTTTGTGTGAAAAATCAACATTGACCTTGGCATTAGTTAGTATTGTTTTAGAAAGTCTACTCGAAAAGGTTTTCAATCATGCGGCCTCAAAGGATCCAGTTTGAAATTTGTAATGAACGGAAGCTATCATCAATCAATGATTGAAATTCCCCCAAAAAAACGGTTTAGCTCGCTTTGCCCCGACGCTTTGCCGCATCAGCCTTTCAACAAAAACTCCAATTACAGTCCGAAATGTCTTCCACCTTTCCTTGATTTTCGCGTGCTCTCCTCTTGTGGAAAATTTGTAAAATATATATGTTGAAATTTAGTCAACACTTGCGTGTAACTTTTCCCTGTTATTAGTTAAAGATCCGGTTTTGACGTGGTGTTGGCAAAATGGGTGGTTGTTGAAATAAGCCAAGTGAACGAGTCCCTTATAAAAAGTTTGGCTTTGAATTTCTGTGGGAAAAGGGAATAGAGAAAGCTGAGTAAAAAGGGAATCTTTTGAAACAATAAACATCCTTCCCTAAACTGGCGACTAAACTTGAAGATTTACTTTCGTGGCAAAATAATTTCGTTATTGAAAGATTACATCCTGAAAATTCAACAAAGGTGACACTCATATTATCAGAGGGATGTCGATCTGAAATTGTTTTTTCCTTCATAGAGATGTGTATGACTTGGGGCATGATTGATATTTAACGGTACGTGACATGCTATATTTCCTTAAAATTCGAAGTTAAATGAAGCTCTGAAAGATTGCTAAATCTATTTCTGACTGTGAACTCGATTACAAGAAAGCACTGGTTTAGTTCTTGAAAATTAATTAATTAATTTTCCTTATCGGCATTATCGAACGCTGGTGAACTACAGACTGTTAAAATATCTGAAGCCAGCACCAAATAATAATCATTTTTATCATGTTTTCAAATTAATTGTATTAGATCCCAAGAGGGACTGAAAAATAACCGTCAGACGGTAATATAGTCAATATGCCTCGAGCGCTGAAAAAAATGGACCTAAACGAGTTGGTTCCTCCAAACATTTTTCTATTCAGATTCTCTTAAAAATGCTGTAACTTTCATTGGTGGAAAAAAGACGATTATTTTCAATACGAAGATACGCGAGAAAAACTGAAAGAAGGAAGACTCAAACTCATATATATTCAATATTTTGATCAAAGTCTTAGGTCTGTCTTCATGTTTTAAAAGCTTTTCATTGAATTTTCACCTCTAAATATAAAAATGTTATTGTGTCAGTCCTTTTGATAATATTAACATCACACCTATGTCTGATATTCCCCCCCCGCCTCATTTGCTATGAATTCATGGAATATTCTCTACATTTGTCTTCCGCATCGAAACTGAGGAAGTGGTCCATTGAAAATTTATTTCGCATAGTTAATGGTGGTATTTGCAAACTTTGTAATTTCCTGAAGCTAAACGTTCACGCCTAGAGTGTTTAAATCGAATTGAAGCGGGGCGGTGCACAGAAAAACCATTCTCTCCTCCCACGGCAGGTGAAAACTACACTCAAGAAATTAACCTGTTTACTGATATTCAATAATAAAGATGTTTCTGGAATTTTTAGTAACAATTTTTATCCTTAAAAGGTTTCAAGATCTAACCTACATTAAGACGAATATACACAAAAACATGTCTGTACTTAGCTATTTTGTTTCGCATTCAGATCACGTCGTAGCGTAAAGATATTCCCACTCAAATTTTTTTTTCTGTTCCTTGGTGTATGCATGTGAATCGTGTCCTGTTTCGTTTTAAATTATGTAGTATATTTTTCATTTTGTGTGGCTTGAGGCGAAGATAATTTTAATTAAGCAAAGAAAACTTTACTGTTGGAAGCCATGAAATAATTATGATGTTAGCATCATTCTGCTAGGAACAAAAACACAACTGAACGCATAAATATTTGAATAATGGACATGTTTGTGACGCCGAGATCTCGAAATACAGCCGTGTTTGTCGAATTATCTGAAGTAACTGATTAAATCTATTTTAAGAAACTATGTTCTATATGTGTATATCTCTTTGAAATAGAGAATTGTCAGACAGAGCGATATTTTTATTGTTGATACACAGAGAAAATATCCATTTGTTTATCATTTTATCGTGCCTTCTTAAAAAAGGGCGTCATCATTGCCGATGCTTCCAACTAAGATATTATCTTTTCTCAATATTTGTCAGGGAGGATAAAAACCTATATTTTGATACAGTCAGTAAATACCTGTCTGAGGAAGCTGATAAGTCTGATCTTATTATTAAGATAATTATGATTGTAGGATAAAGAATACAACGTATATTTTTATATCATTTTTTTCTTTCATCCGGTTCTCAATGTCATAGTTTTCTATTTAGAGCAGTAAAGAAGTACGCGGCTATTATACTCAGAGAGATCTTTTTGTCTTTTTTTCTTAAGACACAAAAACCCTTGATCAAAATTTACCTTGGTTAAACCTGTAGGTATGACGGTCAGAACCCGAATTTAATGGAGTTTTTTCGGACATATTCTCTAAATCAGATTGTTTAGCTGCAGATTGTAAAGCATATGATGCTATTAGATACACGAATCCTTGTGGTCTCCTAAAATATTAGTGAATTTCAGCAAGAGGTTGGCGTCAAAGCTAAAAATGACCTAAGATTTTATTTACTCCTCCTGTTATCCTGGAGCGGCTCTTTAGGAAATGGAAAAAATCAATTCCTTGTGACGGCGATTGCAAAATATTTTCTACCTAACGCAAAACTATCCGAAAGGAGAACGCTTTCAGCCGTTTTCTATTAGCATGATTAACCTCTCTATTAAAAGCTTAAACCATCAATTAGTTGTAATCTATGAATTTAGAGAGACCTTGACATATCAGTGCTGTTAAAAACGGGCTCTAATGATTGAACTGCGTGCGTCATTTTGGTCAACAATATCCATATCGTTTCATTTCCTGATAGCTGCTATTGTATCTGTATAAGTTTAGCCTCAGGCTACTCAGGAACTAACTCACGTTTTGTTCCTTACGTTAAGTGAGCGGCACCATTATAAGGAAACTAATAATTGCTGCCGATAACATAGTTTTCAAGGATCACCTTTAAAGATATTCCATTAAGTTAACTAGCACCCCGTATTGAGCAAGTAATTAAATTTTATGAGCCAATGAAAGCCCATCGGTGATTCGATTGATTTTATTGAAGGAAGTCTACCAGGTAAGGAGGCGACTGTTTTCTATTTTGTGTGGTCTGCAAAACCAATCTTCTGATGAAAGGTTCTTCAATGAAAAAGCGATGCTCATTTCCGCTTCAGTAATCTATGCGGAAAGATTAGCTTAAAACCGGCTTGTATGTACCATTTTTTATTACTTTGTTTCACACAAGACGTTTAAAGGCTTCTCCTTGGATCTCAAATTAACGTACGTATGAGGGTTGACTTATTTACACATGTTTTATTTAGCTTGACATATACACTGACTTAAACTTGCATTTTATATGGTTTGTGTGTGATTTCCGAGTGTAATAACTTAATCTTCGTTTGATATTTGTGGGATGTGAAGTTAGGGTGATTCGTTTCTCTCTTTTGCTTAATTTACCGATTCACGTTAAAATTGTTCATATTCCATTTGATCTTACAGTACTTCTTATCACACTTTTTGAGCTCAAAAAGAATCGAAAATCCTTTAAAAGATTTTTGTTATCAACGGCAGGTGATAATGAGCTAAATCCTTATAAAACGGAAAATTTTCGACCAATTTGGAAAATGGTCTTCGCCGGTTTATTGACTGCGTGTCTTTTTCCGTTCTTACTTACAACATGAATCACGAATTTTAAGTTCTTGGTGTAATAATCGTTTCTCTTACCTTGGATCAATAAAGCAGGCCTGTTAGTTCAAAATAATAAATATAGAGTACTTCACCGCTGGAAAGGTTGCTGGGCTATTGGAGTCACTCCACAGGAGTTTAGATAGCTCCCTCTGCTTCTATATTTACACATCTTACTGATTTTGAATCAGACGTTTAAGAAATTTGCTGACTGAGTTAGTAAAAAATGCCTAAAGCTAAATAGGTTAGGCTTTGTTGTATCGTTCTTCTATCACTTCTATCAGTTTGGAAAGAAAGAGTTTAATGTGAGCCGAGCTAATTTGATGATCCCTCCAAGAAATGCTTTCAAATAAAAGAGTGGTTGAGGCTGGCATTGAAGTTCAAATCAGCCTTTGTCTTGGCGCAATTTAAACAAAACCGGCTATATACGCGCTGACTGCTGTTAATACATTAGACTATAGCATGATAGAAACAACAAGGATTACACCTTGATACGATTAAATTTCCTAGCAGAAGCCCTTTGAATCACACAAATTAAAGAATGTGGGCTGGTTTCCTGGGTACTCTAAAAGTTCGATAAAATGTGTTAAAATCGTAAGAAAGCGCTTCACGCAGTTTGTGAGTGCTAGGATTAGTTTAGTTAGGTTAGGCAATTGTTTACAAAATGGCGGGATACTTTTTTCGTGCAGTCCGCTTCCCAGGACTCAAATCATGTGAAAGGTACGATCAGAGAATAAATTTGATCGAATTCGAGTAATTTGTCATTGAAAAAGCTTGATGGCTCAATTGAAGCGCGTTAATTCCTTTCTTCATTTTATTTTCCAAAATCTGCCAATAAAAACGAGTGTTTTTTTTCCTCAGGCTTACTTAGAATACTTAGATATCTCTGCAGCAGTCGTGGGAAAATGTCAGATGCATTGTCAGAAAGTTTTTTGATACCTCTCTGACAACTGATTTACTGCGTATTCCAGTTGAGACAAGTCTACTCTTTTTTATATACATTTGCCAAGGACGTTCATTACACATTTCCAGGACTTAGAAGGTTCTGGAAAAATCGTTATCATGATATGTTTTGGGTTAGGTTCATGATTGTGTCTTCGTCTCAACAAAAGGCGTTCCACAGTCTTTCCAAAGCTGTTTTCAAGTCGAAATTTCCGAGCAAGCTAGGCGGGAAGTAGAGCCAGGTCTTCCCAAATGGATTGAATGAATTGAGTTAGGCACCTAACTTTTCAAGTGCTTCATTCAAGGTATCAGCGCGTTCGGCTCATGAAAAATTCGGCGTTTGACACCCGCCTGTGAGATACTTAGCATCCTACGCACGTTTCTTCTAATCTCAGCTCCTCCGTGTAATAAAAAGAAGCATGTTGATCGTCAGTTAAACTTGTAGTCGGCCTTTCCTTCACTTATCAATTTTTTACCTTGGGAATTTGCCCAATAATTCTTATTCGTATCCTGCTTTGAAATCTTACACTCGTTTAAGATTTTAAACCATTACCAGCATCATCTGGCTTCATGTATGTAACCGTTGCAAATCACGGTAGTGGAATCCTTCAACTGATAATTCAATTAGGCTTAAAGATTTCCATTTTCCCCGTCTAACCTCCGTCGCACTTACAAGAATTCAGGTCTCTGAACAGTCTTCTGTTTCCGATGTGCTATAAATTGGAAGCAGCATTTACAGGAGGAAGTTAAAACATTAGGGATAACTCGTAGAGTATCATTATTCACCAGGAAAACTTTTTAATTGGCTCATCAAAGCTATGATGCTGCGAATTATTTGACATTAACACCGCTGTAAAGAGTTGTTCTGTATGATCTAAAAAGGTATTTAATTTCTCTTTTCCTCGCCAGGGAGAGTAACATGGGATTCTGGTCGCTCATTTTCCTTAACGTTTCGATAATTTTGATGACTACCACTGGTGAATTGTTAGGAAAAGAAAGCGAAAAGCCATGGGATTGGGCTCAAAGGCGTGCGCTTGAACTCAAGGACCTCAGTGAACGCAGACCGTGTATCTCGTGGCAATGCAGGAGAAACATGTTACTACAAAAAAATACCTTTCTAAACTTCCTCAGAGGTGGCGGGTCCACAGATAAGAAATCCAGTGTATACGGTGCAAAGGAAGAAGAGCCTTGCATTAGTTGGGAATGTAGACGAAAACGACGGGCAGTCAATGGTGTCCCACCACAGGATGGACCCAAACCAGGACCAGAAGACATCCCGTGCCTCACAAGAGACTGCCGAACTGGAAAGAGAAGCACTGTCGAAGATTCTGGTCCGATGAGAAAACTCCGCATCGCTCGCTCAGTTCCTGCCGAACCCCAAAACAAACCAGGCTGTCTCTCTTGGTTCTGTCAGAATGGGAAACGACAGGCGGAATAAATTCCAATAGGTAAGGAGAAAGCTGGGTTGGGGCATCAAAAGGGAGCTTGGAGTTTTAAGAAGTGAAGTATAGGCCTTGAAACCCTGACCCTGTTTGAGACAAGATCCGTTCTTCACTTTCCTATCTAGAACAAATGGATGTAAATTATGACATATGGCCTTTATGGACCACTTCTAACATATCCATACTGCATATTTAACAGTTATTCCATGTGCACGTGTTGGATGTGAGATGCAAGAACCAATCAGGAATTCGGAATACAATATCCGAGGCTCAGAATTTGTTGAAATTAGATCATAAAAATCCCCCCCCCCTCATATGTAAATCACTCTTTTCGAAAGTCTGAAATCGGCAGTCTTAATTCTGTCAGCGACTCAAGACATAAATTCAAATAAGAAGAACCAAGAGAATATTCTCTTTGACGAATAAGGTAATAATTTAATACCCCTGCGGTATGGCCTTGAGATCAAAGTCTCAAACGTATGTTTATAACTCATTCAACCGACAACGAAACTTAGCCAACATGTGCCTCTCCATATAATGTTACAATAAAAAACTCTCTCGAATTTTTTTTTTGATTGGCCTGATTGTGCAAAAACTTTTTAATCAATGATTGAATTTGGTTTTATCCGACTTCTTAAACTGTTTACATCAAAGGGGATTTATTATATATAATATCTGCGCAGCACAACGCAAAGTAATGTGATCAAGCTCCCTTGTCTACTTTACGCAGACAAATCTACAAACTCTTGAACACTTCGTAAACTGCGGAGAAGCATGTGACAGGGCTTTGAACTCAAACTATATGAGCTAATTGGCTGGTGTGCGGCCCTATTCTCAAGAAGAAAAATACTCATAAACACTCGGCGCCACATAAAAGTGAAAATTCTCAAGCGACTGCGATAACTGCCTAGCAATCCAATGCCCTGCCCACATACGACTGACATAGCAAAGTTTTATCCAGATGACGGGAACCTCGACAAGGTGCTACGGAACAGCTTCTGTTTTGATTATCGGAAAACTAATTATTTGGGTCAACAATATCCTTCTGCGTAGCTTTTAATTTCTATAACAGATCGCCAAAAGGGGAGAACAACTCACGTCAAAGATGGGTGGCCAGGCTACTAAGCAAGATTCAAAATGGCGACCAACGAAGCGAACTTTTCCCCATTTGAATAAATACTTCACCGTGGCCAAAAGGGCCAAAAGAAGCTTAAAATGCGCTCAGTGTAATATTCGTATATAAATTTGTTAAGATGGCGATGAAATTATATTATATGGGTATAGACATTGTTTTAACTAACACCATTTTCCTATCCACAGATTTGAGGTCGACACAGCTGGCCACCATGAGAATCTTCTCCACATACTTCAATAAAATAGAATTGCTTACTATGAATTAATCACTTATAGCTAGTAAAAAAAATTAGGAGGAACTAAACACACGTGAGAGAGACGCTGTCAATCTGTTATTTTATCCTAACTGAAAAAAGCAGGCTAATGAGTTGTGTGTTTTTATCTTTACTTTATATTATCATAGCGGAAATTGCTCAAAACGTTTTTAGCTTATTGTGCACTTATGATAAATAAAATTTAAGCATTATGATGATCACGATGGTTTTCCTTTGCCTTCCTTCTGATCTGTTAGGTGGCACCTTAAGAAGAATTCCATTCTAAAAATGAAAAGAGAGCTCCCCGCCCAAAGTCCCAATTTGCACCTCATTAATGTTTTCAGGAAGCCTCTGGGATTTGTCAGAAAGCCACAGTTATTCAGCAATGAGGATTTATATAGATCAAAATACAACCATTAAATATCACTGGCATTTCAACTGATTTGGGATTGACTTTCCAATTACGTAACGGATATTAATTTCCATGATTCATGGTCGCTTCCGTAAACTTCCCCGTGACAAAGTCTTGTAATTAGTCTAAGTCGAGGTCTTGCTCTAGTTCTCTGAGATCTTGTACTAGGCCTAAGTCTTGTACTGGGTCTAGGTCTTGTACTAGTTCTAAGTCTTGTTCTAGGTTTAGGTCTTGTACTAGTTCTAGGTCTTGATCTTGGTCTGAGTCTTGTTCTAGGTCTAGGTCTTGCACTAGGTTTAGGTCTTGTACTAGTTCTGGGTCTTGCACTAGGTCTAGGTCTTGCACTAGGTCTAGGTCTTGTACTAGGTCTAGGTCTTGTACTAGGTCTAGGTCTTGTACTAGGTCTAGGTCTTGTACTAGGTCTAGGTCTTGTACTAGGTCTAAGTCTTGCACTAGGTCTAGGTCTTGTACTAGGTCTAGGTCTTGTACTAGGTCTAGGTTTTACACAAAGTCTAGGTCTTGTACTAGTTCTAGGTCTTGAACTAGGTCTAGGTCTTGCACTAGGTCTTGGTTTTACACTAAGTCTAGGTCTTGCACTAAGTCTAGGTCTTGTTCTAGGTCTAGGTCTTGTACTAGGTCTAGGTCTTGTACTAGTTTTAGGTCTTGTTCTAGGTCTAGGTCTTGCACTAGTTCTATGTTTTGTACTAAGCCTAGGTCTTGCACTAGTTCTTGGTCTTGTACTAGGTCTCGGTCTTGTACTGGTTCTAGTTCTAGGTCTAGGTCTTGTACTAGGTCTAGGTCATGTACTAGGTCTAGTTCTAGGTCTAGGTCTCATCCTAGTTGTAGGTCAAGGTCCTGTACTAGGTCTAGGTCTTATACTGGCTCTAAGTCCAGGTCTAGGTCTTGTACTGGTTCTAAGTCTAGGTCTAGATCTTCCACCAGTTTTAGGTGTAGGTCCAGGTCGATCTAGGTCTAGGTATAGATTCTATAGATTCTGGTTCTCGGTCTTGGACTATTTCCAATTCTAGTCGAGAGAATATAAACAGTTTATTTTCCTTTCTTCTAGTTCTGGTTCTAGTTCTAGCTCTAGATCAAAGTGTTATACTGGTTCTAGGTGTAGATCTTGTTGCTTATTGCTAAACTTCCGGGAAAAAATGCGAAAAGGCAAAACTCGTCCAATTAATGGATAATTCCCAATTTCAAATAGCAAAATCAAAACAAATATTAGATAGGAATTGATTGAACACAAATACAGGCAGAAGAGACTCTTTAAATCAACGTATTTAAAATTCTGTTGTTACTTTTCATTTTTCACGGAAACTCCAACTGTTAGCATCTACGTGAAGTATTCGACCCAGTTCCCCGTCGAAATATTTCAAACGTGAGAGATTTAGAAAGTAAAAAAAGGACAGAATTTTATTTTTTTCAGATTTCCATTTCGTTTTGGTACGTAGTCAAAAAAATTCCCACATTTCCAACACAACCAACAATGATACTCTTATCTGAATACGTTGTAGCTTTCTTTTCCTAAAGTTGGTTTGATTTGTGGAGGTAAGTTGAGTAAGTTGATGCCTTCACAATGGCATTGACTTAGGACTGAAAAAGCATCGATGAAAATAATCCTGTAAGGCTGAATGTCGAGTAATGACTGTAATTCAATTATTAAATATGATTACCGGTAATTTATCACCAGATACATCGCTGAGGAAGATGTACGATGTGGGTTCTTACTCATTTAGTAAGGAGTCTAGCACAAGAAAAATGGTGAATTTTCAACTTGGAGGTGGAGTGAAAAATGATGTATTTTCGTCGTGTCTAGAGCGTGTAATGAGTTCTCACCTTATTGAAATCTTTTAAAAGAAATTGTAAGATTAAAGTTTTCTTGTATCATCGATTAACATCCGCCTTTTCTAACATTAATTTCATTTTTGTACTTGCGAAATTGATTTCAACCATGTTCCATGCTGTGAATTTCGACCTCGGTGATGACTTCTTACACAGATGGTTAGTAATGTCATTTCCTTTTGACTATGTTTGAGGGAATGTGTATCACTCTTTAACTCAGCAAAGTGAAAAATATTTATAAATCTAGGAATTCTCAATAAACTTTGTCACAACCTCTTTTGCTCTCAACAGAACTCTTTTAAAATTGCACTCTTTAAATATCACGTAGAAAAATCGGTGATGAAATTGATTGGAAATTATGATATTGAACACTTATTAAAATCCCAAGATATTTCTAACTCCGGATGCCTCGATAAATCTATTACCTTCACCTTTTTGTAGCGTTACAGTCCGCCTATCAGAATTCGTTATTTGTTAAGTTAATTCATGATCGTTTATAGTCTTAATCATTTCTTCAAATCTCTCTTTAACTGGAGCGGTAAAAATGTGTGAGACCAAAAATAAACATGGTTGTTTGTGACTTCTCATTGACAGAAATTTTACCAATAATCTTATTGACAAAGCGTCAATCGTCGATCGTCTCCCCTTTTGGCCATATGAATAAATTTCATGAATTGATTCTTTGCTTAAAAAGGGAAATAAGTTTGATATCTGCACTTCCTTCCGTTGTATCCGCACCCCAGCCTTTTGGATCACTGCTCGCAGCAGGTGGTGAAAGATTAATTGTTTTCCTTAAAACTAATCAAATTTAGTTTAACACCTTAAAAGTTGATCACAAAAATAAAGGCTTGTCCAGAATCCTGTGTTTAGCGTGGAAAGAGGGTTGGTTCTAAAGAAAAAGAAATAATTCTACTAACAAAGGTAAGACAGAAAGACAGATTTATTCTGATTAAATCGGTTGGAATCGAGCTGTTCCCTAATTTCTTCCCAAAACAATTGCAATTGCCATGGAATTTATTTCTTTTATTCAGCAAAGAGTCGCGAAACTTTCCCCTCTTCTGTGATTTAAAACACGTATTGAGCTTTTTCTTTTATTTCAAAAGAAAACATAAACCAAACTCGTTTTTCTTGAGAAATTCTTAAGAAATTCCAGAATCTTATATGTACGTTTTTTTATAGAAAACTTAGATTATACTTTAGATCAAGAAATGCCTGGACTACTAGCATTTCATTCAACATCAGAAAACCTCAATCCGTGAAGCGAGGCATAGTAATCAAAAATAAAATAAACTTGTCGCTGAGCGAGCGCGAGCAGTGTGCGATGGACTGAGAACACTTACATGGGCCCTTCTGTGCACCGTTTTCGGCTTCATTTTACGAGTATAGGCGCTTCGTCGAGCAAACTGTGGTCTCAACTATTTAATAGACTCTTAGAAAGTTTCGTTATTTCATAACCAAACCAGTTTAACGATTCTATCACTGATTTTAGATGACCTCACCCATGAGCTGTTCGAAACATAACATGAGCCGAATTTCAACTGATCAAATGAATCATTTCAGATGTCCCAGGTCTTTCTTGTTTCCTTGGTTCTCCTGTTGACCATCTGTGCCGCTACGTCACTTCCAGCTGACCACCCGCAGCCTGGGTACGACAATTACTTGGAACGTGACAACAGGGAGAACAAAAGAGGCTTCCGTAAACCCCGGATCCAATCACGAAAGGGAAGGCGAGGTTACCTCGACGATCCTTATGGGTACGCCCCCGACAAGGAACCAGCTGATTATGAGCCCGTCAGCGTGTAGAAGGAAGGCTACGTTATTGAAGTAAATAATTGGGTTGGGACTAATAAGATGAAATAAAGTGACGTCGCCGATTGCAAATGTGTACATCTTTATTAACTAGTAACTTGTATTTTAATATGACTGGTCCAGAAAACGAGCGGGAAGAAACAAACTCCGTATTCTAATTGGCCTGGTTTCTTGGGATTTCTTGCTCGGGATTGCACGCTTTGATGGGAGGGAAAAAAGGAGATCAGGTTTGCATATTTCATAACCTCTGGGCAAGATTTTTATGTAACAAAAAATTTATTTTTTTACAATTTTAACAGTTATTAACACAATTATTACAAAGTACGTTATTTTTGTTGAAACCTAGCTATTAACACTATGGTGGACAATAAGGGCCCATTTATCACAAGACCAAATTCGTCAAATTCGCCTCCACGTACAAATTTAACCTAATTGTGTCTAATTGGAAAGTTTTAAATTCAGCCATGACGTAGAAGTCACGTGTCGAGGGCTTGCAAATCGTTCAGAGGGAGGGAGAAGGAAAGGGGGGGGAGGGGAAAGACGTGAGGAAGTAGGGGAGCAGTGACTCACTTCTGCGCTTATACGCCGATACCTTCTTACGTCCCTCTTTTTTTCTTGGTCGTACATTTATCGATCGAGGATCTAATCTTTTTTCAACCCTTTTAACCCCAGTGATAAGCATATAATTTCTCCCTACAACGACCCCGAATCGCTGACTGAAGTCACAACAATACAGGAAATATTTACCAGTTAGTGAGGCTCTTAATTGTTAAACAAATGCGCCTTGCCAACACCTTAGGAAATGAATAAAGACAGTCAGGGGAATATGCATTCTGATGTTGGGGAGTAAAAGGTTAGTTTAAAATAAGTAAAACTAGTTAAATCCGCGAGGTGCAGAATAGTTCAAATCAAGATGGTCTAAAACTACTACTACTACTACTACTACTACTAATAATAATAATAATAATAACAATAATAGAAACAAAATTCAAGCAGTTAACTTTATTTAAACTTTTTACTTATTTACATTTTACTTGTGGAAGGTGGATTGACAGGCAAGATACAAAAATAACTCGAAGAAATGCTATATTTACACCCTCGTCATTTATGTCCAATTAGGATACGTTTCAGTTAAAATACAGTTTATAACTACTACACTCAGGTAGATAAATGCTGGCACATGCTTTACTGATGCCTGAGAAAAATCGCTGGTTGACTGCTATCTACAAAGCAGTACCTCAAACCATTCACCATGTAACTTCCTAAATAACAGAATAAAGTTTGCGCATGTCACGAATCCGAATTCTATTGCATTACAAACGTTAGTAACAATGGCGGAATTAAAAAAAAAAAGAATTCAGATCGTTGACAATTCACATCAATTTAAATCATTCTTCTGGGAACTAGAGTATATAACTATCGCCGAGGACCACCCAGCACAACGCTGACATAATTTTCGTATTCTCACGATTGCAACGATCCATCAGTTTGTGGATAAAACTGAGGTTTTCACAAAATATCTTGTGCCTCCGTTGAAGGTTAGAATTAATCAAAAGTTTTAAACATAATATTTCTACTTCCTTCTTCACCTGTGAAATTGGACAACTTTTCAATGTTTTCAAGAATTCCACCGCTTTACTGGTATTGCTATGGTTTTACACGTAAGCCCACGAAAGTTCGAGCCATGCGCAAACGTTAGTCAGCTCTGCCCTGACAACTAATGACTGACTTGTGATTCTCTTAAATTCCCCTATTCAGCTGATGTACATTTCCTTGTTAATCTGTTTTAAGAATTTCGTGTTACACCAAGATAACACCAGCTAGATATCTCCAAGTGGAAGGATAAATGAAAATCATTGTAAAAGAAGAAACTGTTTGCCCCTAGGGTGACTTCCACAACACAGACAATCAAGTACCAGACAACATCCTGTCTCAATTTGGATGGTTAATTCTTTACATTCACTTAAAATGGATATTTCATTCAACAGTAAACAGCTTACATGTGCTTTATTCAATACGCTGTACAAAAAAATCTGCTTTTAACGATTGAAAATGAAGAAAAGAAAAAAAAAACTGGCTTCAATATCAGTTAAGAACTTACAGTTTATTTTTATTATATTTTTTTTGTGGCAAAACAACAAAATTACCCAGTTTCATACCAGGTAAGAATTTAATTTTTTTTAAACAGAAAATGAAGAAAACTATGTGACAAGAGCACAGACAGGTGAGATAAGTTATACAAATATCACCTTCAGTGACCAAAGTCTCTCCCCTACTGTAATCCTACTGTATCTCTGCTCTATCCAGTAGGATTTAGTTACCTCTTGAGCACAAGTCTCCAAATCATTGTTTGATGATGTTGTGATGCCCTTCAACACTTTGACTGATATATTCAAAAACATCCTGTACACTTTACAGGTTGAATTATCTGCATATGCATTGTTACAAATTTTTCCCACAATCAGCCTTCACAATGATGAATTGATTTGAATTTTTTTGTGACTTAAGAGTACGTTTTTCTTGAAAAATGAAATTCTTGATGTCTTCAGTTTGAGACACAAGTTGTTTTCAACATCTACCTATATGTACTCAAAAGCCACTAGCATATTTTTCGAGAAAAATGAAATTCTTGATGTCTTTAGTTTGAGACACAAGTTGTTTTAGACATCTACCTGTACATACTCTAAAGCCACTAGCGAGGTACGTGCATCTGAAGACCCTGCCTCTGAGCATACAAAATGCATCTGCTGAGTTAAAATATATCTGAGCAGTACTGTAAACCCGTAAACATTACCATGCATACATGTAGCTCATGATTTATGGTACGTAGTGAATTCTAATGCCAAATATGTCAAGAACTAAAATAATTCTGTGCTTCAATTCATGAATGGACAGTGGTTTACTGATAATATTACAATAATTATCATGATAATACATAATGTACATGTAATTCAAAGAGAATGCTAGACACAATTTTGTTACCTAGTTACAACTCCTTGCTAAGATGAAGCACCCTTTCATTTGTCATTACAACACATGTTACAAAAAAAAAATGTAACTAAAAATTTCTCTGTATGCATGTGACTATAATTTTTTCCAACAAGTTTACTTGCAGTACATTACTTATCCCCTACAGGCACTTTTCCTGTACTGAGATTTTAAAACAATTTGTTAGAGTCATGTTTAAAGTAATTTACCCACTCTTTCAACTAAGATTTTTCTGAAGACTGTATGACCAATTATTTCCATCTAACTAACTAAACACTATTCAGTGATTGCTACATTGTATACATTCGCTTCAGCAGTTGGGGACCCCCAAAAGTTCAGAAAGACTGCTGGCCTATGTGCGACAAGACACTTATACTGTGCAGTCACAATTTTGGAGAGAGCAGAGCATCATCATATCACACTTTGAAGAGTTCTGTGGACTACTTGGGGTCACAAAACTTGTTGATCCCTTGTCAGATTTTCTGCAGCTGAGAGAGCCTGTCACACACTACTGAAATATCTATATGGCCCAACATCCACATAAACTCCATAGCACAAGAGAGAGTTATTCTGCTCAAAACAGAAACCTCACCTTGGACTCAGCACTATGACATCTATTTACAGCAAAGAGGGGCCCTTGGCTAGATATTCTCAGGGCCTTCTTGTGGGACATCCTTGACTAAGATTATACGGTTAAATGCTCTCAGGCGCCTCCAGAGTTGGACGTACACTTTACATTGGACATACATAAAAACCAATCCTCCAGTGAAACCAATAGCTACCACCACCAGTTTGGTCCAAAAAGGCCAATCCAACTGCCCTTCCCTGATTTCCTCAGCAGTGCGCTCAATAAGAACCCACAGTGACCACACCACACATGTGATGGCAATCACATGAAATGAAACTGAGCAGAGGATCTTGCGACGCTCACTTCTTGTCATATCAAGAGCTTTCCACTGTTTTAAAATAAAGAGAGTTTTAAAATACTTCAATGCACATGTTTACTCTGATATTGGGGAAAAATGAGATAAAGACACAGGAATAACAGAGAAGGGAAACAGAAAGTGACACCTGGAGTTGAATCTATCCCAAAAAACAAACCGTTTTTCCAAACTAAACTATTTGATTTTTTTATGCTGTTTGCAAACATTAGAGGCCATTTACTACCAGAATCTAAACCAAACTGCGGTTTTATGCAAGCAGTGGGCCTTCCTTATTCTCTATAAGAGGGTTTTTTTCATGAAATAAATGTCCTTCCACCCCTAGCTTTCAGCCCTGTTGTCACTACATTCACAAAAATAAATTTTCAGATAAAAGATTTACCTAAAATTCAAGCACAGGGTTTTGTTAAACAACAGCTTAACTCTGTTTAACTAACCCTCCCTTAGAGATGAACTAGGTTTCTCACATCAAAGCAACATTCCAAAGCATAGAATGCAAAAATTGTCAAATATGTGTACCAGCATACAGTGGTTTACAGTGAATTAATGTACAGTGTACATGTACATTGTCTTCTACCCATATAGTTCTTTTTTTAAACTTGTGCACTCAGCAACTAACCTTGGTTATGGGCTTCATTTTTGATTCCATGCGGAACTCATATTTACAGAGTTCACATTTCTTGGTGTCTGAGCTTTTGATCCATCTCTGGAGGCAACTCTGATGAACGTACTGCAAAGACCCAGCACACAAACATGGAGAGATCAGAGGTTGGTCAGGTTCTGCCTCACAGTGACATATTCTGCAAATCTCTGCTGATGAAACCACTGAGGTCATCGAGATGCTTTTCTTTGGGGGTGCTTTTGGTTTGTCGTTACTGTTTTCCGTAATTGATGTTGTTATTTGCCCCTCTGGTGACTTTGGTTTCAAATTCTGCAAAGACAAAATACACATGGTGAGATGAAAATAAAACAAATTTCCTTACCCTTCAGGCAAGCTACTTCTAAGATTACAACATGCACAGTGTACATGTAGTCCAGAGCTCTGACAAGCAAGCCCAAATTTAACTTCATAGTAAATTTTAACTAAGGTCTGCATAATGGTAAGTTATCAGTAAATTCAAAAGTATTGGTAAATGGCTTCCACTTAATACATTGTATCATGAAGAATTTAAAACATATTCTAGATCTTGTAGCAGGCAACAACAATTAATTCTTGAGTATTACATGTATTTCCTTTAAATGGTTAAATGCAATCAATTTTCCAAAAGTAACAAGATTGAATCAAACAAGTTGTGTCATTTAAGTTGTTAAATATGTACTGTACTTTACACAAAGTCCAATCATACTTGTACATGTAGAAACAAATCCAAATGCTACTTGTTGAGTTTAAATTTATGAAAACATCATTGAATTGCAACACAAAATTACAACAGTAGAGTATATGATTATTAGGAGGTGCTGTTTACATTAGAAGCTCTTATAATTTCACTAAGACATCAAGTCCATCTACTGTACACTTAAATGTATTGTCATTAGCCATGGCTTTTGCATTCAATGGTGTATTTAAAATACACATTGTAATAACCAAACACATGTACATAGATTGCATGAACCTCTTCCCAAATCAAAATGCATTCCTCCTTTTTATATATTATGTACACACCAAAACCTGAATTTACCTTATTCTGCAGTTCAAGAAACAACAGTAAAAACTAACTTTCCAATTCCCTTATTGGACATAAACCTGTACTTCCTCCGCAAATTCTACTAGCCAGTCAGGTAACTTGTAAACATAAAGTAGGTATAAGGAACGTTTTGACTTGCCAGTTTAGCAACTTTCTTTGAAAATTTACAAGCCAAAAATTTTCAATATAGTCCCCCTTTACACTCTGTCAGTGATGACTGATCCCTTCTCTGTTCCCCCTGAGAACCATGTGATCATCTGGTGCAAAAATCATTCAACCCACCCACCCACCCACCCTGCAGCAGTGAAAAATGAGTGGTCTCTAAGTCAAAATTTAGATGCCAAAATTTTCCCCCAAAGTGTACTTGCCATATCAACCAGAAAAGTTGCAGCTTGCAGCACTGTCCAGTAATATAAATAGATCAGAAAGTTCAAGTTTCATCTAAAGGCAATGAACTGATGTGAAAAGAAAGAAAAAAGTGATGTGATGAGTGTATTATTAAAGCCTGGTTTTCACTAACCGGCCAAGCATGACATTTCCATTATCACCATGAAAACAACCTCAGAGCAAGCAGAAGTGCAAGGTCAAGATGAAGGAAACATTTTTTGATCCTTGTGCTTGTGCATGCACCAAGGTGATTTTCACAATAAAATAAGAGTTGTAACCTTTGTTTCTGTACTAGCATTGCATGTCATAACAAGGTGTAACAGTATATGACCTATGTCCAGACCAGGCGAATAAACAAAAAGTGCTACATGTTAAAAGTGCAAAAGGCTTTCAATCTAAACCTAACCAGAATTAAAGTTCCAACTAAAAAATTGTCATCCATGGTTTTCATGGCAACATGTGTATAACTCTAGCCTGGGTCATTGATTCTAATGTTCACTGAAATTTCTTTTGTGATAAGTTGTAAGAATAATATGCAGTTAACACATGAATTAACATAAAATGGAAATGACAATCTACCAAAAATAAAGCAAAATAAAATTTATTGTGCAGACATGTACCAAATCTAAACATTGATGATCTAATTCGTAAACAAGTGGCCTTGAATACATGTAACTTTAAATTGTACATGTACATTAATCCCTCCTTGGATACATTTGCTGATAAATCAGTATCATTTAACCCTAATGGGGCTGGTGGCTGTTCTTACCAAAACCAGCTGAGTCAGGAAAGTACTAAATACTAAAAACTATAATCACATTTCCAATTTGCTCACTTGGTTGTCATCCTTTGAATGCACATCAAAACAAGTTAGTGATGGTGCTTTTGCCAAGAACAACAGCCCTTACTTTACAGCAATTCATCCAACCTTGCTAAAATAAAACTTTACTGCATACTGTATCTCTTATTACCCCATACTGTATCTCTTATTACCACAAAAAAGGTTATTGCCTGTCAAATATGATGAAATACAATACTTATAAAGATCAATATACATGCAGAATATGCAGCTTAAAGATTGAAAGAGCCTGGTGTACATTCTCACAGCATGACCTACATATGCCCCATATCAGGCCAAGCTAGAACAATCATGCATTCAAAACATTTCTACAGGTTTACATATCTTGATAACATTAAGATTTATGCTTTTGTGTATAGAGCAAACCAATCTTTTTAAAAGGAATATTACCGCTACATACAATATATATTTGTACAATTCAGCTTGTATTAAGATAATTTTTTTAAAAATAGGCTGAATTACAAACGCACTTTGATCAGTTCTTACTTGCAGTCTATTTAAAGACAGATGCATGTTGACATCACTTTTAGCCACAATTTGCTTCTTTACGGTGTAAAACAAATAAATTATTTGTTGACATGAGTTTGTAAAATAATAGATCACAGATGATGTCAAAATGTGATAAGGACATCAGTGCCACTATTTTACTCTCACCAAATTCTGATGCCATCTACAAACTATTACTGATCAGACGACACAGCAACATGGAATCTATTCATAACAAATTAATAAGCAAATCATGTCTGTAGGTTATTCTAATCACCTCAGAGTGCTCTATTTATTAATCTGCAGAGTTTGTGCAAGGATTTTGGATGCAAAACGGTGAAAAATTTTGTAACACTGAGAACATGACCAGTTACTCATTTCTACAGTAAACTGGCTCAAAAGAGCATTCTCAGCTTTAGTTACTAAAAGAACAAATTAATCTCTTAAATTCTCAAATGAAAGTACCAAAGAGCAACTGCAGTGCTAAAACCTGTGCTGCATTGCTAAATACCCCCACCCCATTTGATTTAAGGTCAAGGATAAAACACATTGCCATCTGATGTTCACTATGTGGTAAGAATCATAAAATGGTTCCCAAGATTTGGTAAAAGTTGGGTACATGCATGGCTAAAAAGATAATAAATACAGGCAAGCACGACGAGTTAAACTAATAGAGAAGAAAGCCTCGATTATCTTCAGAATCGCATTAACTGTGCGATGGGAGCTTCGATACGAAAATATTGCTCCTTCATCGCAAAATTTCCAGGTTGGATTGTTCTTCCTTTGAATTCATACAACTTGCCTTCAAAGAGTCATTGTAAGAAACCATACATGTAATTGAGAAACGGATAAACTCTACGGTATGGGAAAAAATCTACCTTGTTTGCACCATTGTGTGGCCTTGAAAATCATAAAAATAACACGTTTAAAAATAATGTCTTGGTTGATAACTTCAACAAAACGCATTGACCTACGAAACTATCTGACTATCATTACGCGTGATCTGCTGCAGACTTTGTACGATATAACAAGGAATACTTGATCTGAACAAGTAAAAATTCGGATAAAAAGTATACCGATATCCATCGAGAGAAATGCTACATCTAAAATAACAAACCTTTGCTAGACTACTTAATCAAAGTCCGTATCAAACCCTGTATTATGAAAAACAAGAAAAACTTCATAGCTGTCCATCACACGAAAGGCAGTTGGGTCGCAACTGTCTGCAAACCTTCGAAATCTTACCTAAACCTAAACCGTGATTTTACCACAGCTCCTCAGAATTCCTACCAAAATGTTTTCGCCGATAAAGCAATTCTTCTAGTTTACTTGGAGGTTTAGAAGTCGAACATCCAGAGCTAATCAACCCCATTCTGCGAGAAATCATTTACATTTTCATAAAATCAAACAGCGCTCCGGCGAGCTTGTGTAACTTTACACTCGTGAAATGTTTCGTGTGGAATTTGGTTGCAAACAAGGCGCTTAAATTCTATGAGTACGATGACAGCAGCAATAACCGACAGAAAAATACTTTCAGTCGGACATAGATAACTCGACGACACAAGTCAAAGTTCTTAAATATTGAGAAGCGAACAAAGTATTTTTCATCACGCACGTAAGCTTGCTGTGAAAATGATTGCAGCATCGTATTAATTCTAAGTAAAACAGTAATACCACACAGGAAAGCGAAATAACTTTGTAATCTTCTCATTTGCCGAACTCTCGTCATGGCTTTTCAGTCTATCACATTTTTTGCCAACCGTGGCTTAAAAAAGAGCCATGTTTACTGCCGATTTCACCCGACCTATCCAAGTGACCTATTTAGCAATTGGATAAACACAACGCGAAAGGCGTAAAGAAAAGAGTTGAAGCCAACTTTCTCCGCTAAATTATCAGAGAATTAATCTTTATAGGATAGATTTAAGCTCTAAAATGTTCTTACTTATGTAGTAACTTACTTTTCTGTCTTTGTTGTTTGTCTGCTGCAGAGTCACTGGGTTAACGACAATTTGCTGTACGGGCATCGTTTTCGCCTCTCGAAACCCGAACATTGAACGATCAGTTCAGCAAGTCCTTCAACCGTAACGCCAAAAATCCCAAAGCCTATACTCCATTTAAATTGAATACTTCTTTTTTCTTGACAAAATCTACCGTAAAATACACAAAATCGAGCGTTTATGTGGCGACAGTCTCCTCGACGCTACAGAGAAAAAAGATGGCGGATGTATGAAGCCTAATGTAAAAATTTGTCAGAGCGACCGAACTAACATTGTGACGTTAAAGAAATATCTGGATCGTGATTGGTCAATGGGTAATTTGTTCAGAAATGAGATTCGGCTCAGCATTGGAGCCGAACGCAAACAAGGAAAATTCTCACCAACATCCTGTCTGCAATCTGTCGCAAAATTTTTCTTAATTGGAAGGCTGTTAAGACTGCACGAATAATCTTATATCTGAAATTCATAATTTTCGATCCCAAAATCTATTTAAGCTGGTCAAATCTTTCGGAAAATATTGTAAGAAAGTTACCAGTGCTCGAGATTCTGCCCAATACTTCACCTGTTCTTAATGATCTCAACAACCTTTTGGGTAATAATTTCAATCACCCTGTCATATTCAAGTCTGGAGCGACGGCTTTCAATGACTTTAATTTCAAATTCTCTTAAGTTCTATTATAAATTTTTATTTTTTTCTCTTTTTCTTTTTTAACATGGGGAGGAGGGAGAGGAGGTCCCAATGTAAAGATCAAATGACGTCGACAAGGAAGTTGGTCATTGCCAAGCTAGAATTGACCCAAGGTCCGAACAGAAAATTTTCATTAAATCGTCTTCAAACATCGCTTTTACACTGCCATGTGTCAGTTCCAATTGCGACATATGACGTTGGTTTTATATGAAAACCGCTTTGTAATAAACGAAAAACATACCTTCAATTTTCCCGTCTCATACAGACAGGCTTAGAAAGAAATATGTCAGAAGTCTTGATATGTCAACCACAAAATAGTTTGACCTAATTTTTCGCCGTCCTTCAAACCAATCCCACATTGTTCTATGGTTAATTAGACTTTCCCTCTGAATCGTTTTCACTTCGGCAGAAGAAAAGATTCCATTCGCCAATGTAAGCAATATTGGACAGGAAAAATGTTGAACTAACTCAGGTGCTCTATCGGCTTATAATATAAGTCAAATAAGTTATCACTCAGGAGCTAAAGCTTTTGAAATACTCAGTACACGGTCTAGCATCTCAGGGGGTGAAATTTCGGCCAAACATTAACAATTTCCAGTTTTAAGCATTGCACCAATACAAAAACTGCACTATCGTCGAGCATCCTCATCGAAAACGGCCGGTTTTTTAATCGTCTTATTTAATTTAGAACCGGAAAATTGAAAACTGAATACGAACTTGCGGTTTGATATGTCTCATATATGAGGCTTCAATATTTACGCATTTTGAGTGGTACTTGCTTAGATCTATTGAGGGACAGATGCAAAGATGAGGTTATCAATAACAGCGTTTTGCTTCTTTATTATGTAAATCAAATGGAGTTTATCGGCTACCGCGCATCTGTTCCGTGATAGACCACGGACGACGTCAAAATGCGGTGAGGATATCAGTGACAAACTCCACTGCGCCTTGTGCAGGTCGTGTGCCACTTTTTCCTCTTTAACCGAGCAGACACCAGCAACATGAAATCTATGTATTCATTTTAGAACATTATCCGCCTTAGTATAAGGGAAAATTACAGTACAATTGTTAACCATGTTAGCTTTTGTCGGGTCAGGGATTGTGTCTCATTTAGTCCGCGTGTTTTACTGCTACGGAGTTTAGTGTAAAGGCCGATCTCATGCTAGCTATGAGAGCAATCCCGTTCAGGAATAAGGGGTCCTCTATATGCTTTTCACAATGTAGCGGCAGATCAAGAGTGAAGGTCCCGGGGGGGAAGTATTCAGAATCCCCCCGCTCCACTCCCCGCTGTGTGTTTTTAATTACTTGACTGACGCTACAATGCATGCGATGGCAGGAGAGCGTATTACCATTCAACGGAAGCTCTTGATGGGATTAACCGTTAGCCATAAAACGGTAAACATTTCAGCTGTCAGGCGTAAAAATTGACAAATTTTAACCGTTTGTCATAATAAAGTTAACTGTAAAAATTGTTTCTGATAACCGTGACGGAAAGAAATTAATGGTAAGCCGTGTAATGGCCAAAATTTCAACCTTCATTACCCCATTGAGTATGGCGTAACATACCGTCAAAATTCAGTTAGGGTACTTTCCCTATCGAAAAATTAATTTTCGTGCCATAACTGAGACCCACTCAATTGGCTGAGGGCGGGCGTGAGTCGCTCAGGATGTAATTTTGGACATCGTTAGTTGTTGTCCCTTTTGTGTCTGCGTGTGCGGGGTTTTTATTTCATTTTTCAATTTTTTCTTTCAGGATGTATTAAAACACTTGATCGTAATATCTGACGTAATGATTAACACCAGCGCTCTTCATAATAATTTAACTATTTAAATGGTAGGAATACAGCACTTGACAACGCAATACAAGAAACCCTTTCTGGGGCTTTTAATAAGTCACGCGTGTGTATTTACCTTAAAGTATTTGCTTGCTTTTCTTCTCGAGACACATTTTGTTGGAACAAGACAAAATCAAGAAGGGCTTTTTAATGTTCACTTGCGCCTATTAAGGGCCTATTAATAACATTTATCTTATTTGAATTACCTCGATATAAAAAGTGTTCTTTTTTATTAGGCAAGGTTGTGGGGATGCAAAGAAAATGAAGAAATTTGTCAAAGCTTGAAAAATGGTTCTGTTCTCGGCAAGTAACAGCTCATTCTAATTTATACGAAAGTAGGTCTGTTTTTGACCTAAATCATAAACATTGGCATGAATATAATAGGACTTTTACTTCAGTTAAGAGTTCTTGGCTAAAGTAAATATTAATTAAGGTAAATTATAACATTAAAAACTCTAAAGCGCATGGACCTTTCGATTTGAATTGGTTAAAGTTGGTTCGAGCAAAATAAGGCTTCGATTCTTCTCCCTTTTCACGGGGTGAAATTAATCGCAAAGCCTAGCCTGAATTTTCTACCGAAATTTTTAGTTTTATGGTTTGGATTGAAACACTGAGGAAACCACTCAGTCAACACATTAGACAGAGTGTGATAAACTTGTCATGCACAGCAAAAACATTGCTAGTTCAGCCGCTGAAATTATTTTTAATCCAACGAAATATATCTCACGGATAAATTCACAACCCATTTATTGCAGTCCTAACTTGAAATAGAGCCACCGCACCGTTATTTTACACGCATTGTTCAAAATTGTCTTCCTCTAAATGATTCGTCGGTGAATTTTGACGAAAATGATCGGTTTCCGAATTCATACTGTGCGTACCAGACTGGTTTTGGTGCTGATACTCGTCCTTCCGAGCCCGGTTGTCTTCGGCCAAAGGATAAGAGGAATTAACATAGCTGGTAAGAATGTTCTTTATCTAAAAAACAGCTAAGGTAGATTTTCAATCAGTGGCAGACAAATGTGACCAGACAAACTCCACATCGGGGGTTCATCTCAGTTTTAGACTCCGCACAATATCCTCGGCACGTTATCTGTCAGGGTAATTTTAGTATCAAGGGGGTAAGTTTGTAAAGAAACTGTAGTGCTGCGTCGGTGAGAGAGTATATAACAGTCAGCACTAAAAACGGCTGAGAAGGAAAATACTCACAGCATTCCATTCACTCTCACATTTCACTCTCACAACCACGCAGTTAAATCTATCATTCTTAAATGAAAACTTTGAACTACTTTAAAACGATCAGAGACTACTTGTACTATCTTTTCGCAACCTCCACTAATTTCATTCGAACGTGATTAAACATAGGCAACGTTTTGGTCAGAAGTTCATTTAAAACCAGTGACCAATCTGCAACTTTCAAATGCGCTCGCTCATGATGCATAACTTGTCCTTTCATTCATAACATGGAGAAAATGTCGCAACCCAAGAGATCCATTAAGATCACTGATCACTTCGCGTGCACCTCTGCCAATGTCAACTGCTGCGTAACTTGCACTTATTGCAAAAAGTTGTACATTGGTGAAACAGGAAGACGACGTGGTGACCGATTCCGAAAACACCTTAGCGAAAGAAAGAAATGATAAGGACGCATCTAAACCAGTCGCTATACACTTTAATCTCCCTAATCATTCTAAGCAGCATATGGCAGTTTGCAGTCTTTCCCCACAACTAGGCAGTTCGGGAAAGCTGCAAAACTCCAGAACAAGAATTTATCTTTCAAATCGGCACTCTTAATCCCCACGGTATCAACGCGTGCTTTTCATTCAACTAATTTATTCTTGTTTTCTCGTCACCATATTCCCACCGATAGCGTAGCTCCCCTTTTTGCACGTAAACCCACACACAACTCACAATTCCTTCAATCGCTCTGACGAAGGGCTAACGCTCGAAAACGTCAGCCTTTAGACTCTCTACGGTGGCCAATTTACGTTATCAACTCATTTGATAATACTAAATTTCCCTAGTAAACTCTCCCAGCGCAGCACTTCAGTTTCCTTAGAAACTTACCCCCTATATACGTTATCTGTCAACCGACCGAGGTGATTAAGGCGGGGTGGGGGGATAGAGGGATTTCCTGCCAGCCCCCAATGCTCTGTTCGTCGCGTAGCCAACCAGCACCTTCAAGAGGTTATAAGCTTAGCACCGCATAATCTGTTTCCCGCTTTTTACCACGCATTCGAACTTGGACTAATCGATATGGGCCTCTTTATACTCCTCAGTGGGGGACAGGAGGGACATTATAACAAAAACTGTATTTTTTGACGTTGAAGGCCTAGTTGTATTTCCCGTAAGGTCTCCATGAGTGGCTTACGACCCTTGATTTGTACGTGAGAGTAACTGAACATATGTAAAGAACCATATCCGACACGGTGCATTATATATGTCAGACCTTGACTACTCCTGTCAAGCATCCTCTGAGGTCATCAATATAAATTCATTTTGGCGTCGTAACCGAGACGATACCACGTGACCAATGCGATAAGATGACCGCTGTGACATGTAGTGGCTTAAGACTGAATTAAGCAATTTCTAATCCCCTGTAAAACGTTACCTGTCAATCCAGTAATGTTCGGTAAGCCATAACAATTTATTACATGGGTCTTTCGCTATGTTAACTTCCTCGCTGCTGAATTAACATAAAATAATCCACGAATAATGAAAGCTGCAACCGAAACAAACCATAACAAATAATGTTAGCTCAGCTGCAATACACGAAAAGGTTAAAACTTGGGAGGGAACGATCAGAGAGACTTACACACAGCCTTGGTAAATCCGATCGAGTGCTGTCCTCTTAGCGTAAGCCGGCTCGATTTCACTATAATATAAAAAAAAACTGCCTCAGATTGTGTTCGATATCTACATCTGAATTTTCCACTGGTAACCTGTTGATGAGAATGAAGTACCAGGCAAAAAGTTTTATTTATATCGCGATATTTATCGACCTGTTGCAAAAATGTGGCCGAGCAATCCCAATGAATACAAGGGCGGACCTGAAGATGGAAGACAAACCCGGCAAGGATAAAAAGCCGATACCTCCATGGGCAAAAGCTAATGGACTCGGTAACAATTTTTATTCTTACTTAATCCCGTCCGAATTTTATTGTTGTGATATAACGTGCAAACATTACCGCTACACCAACCATTAGATAAAGAGTACAAGGGCTTAAAAATTCAGAATTATGGAGTTCGATCGGGGGTGTATATGGCCCCTGAGCGCTGTAACGTTCACAAGATGCAAATTATCTTTCGCATGAGGTTCAATATCAATTTTCTCACATTAAGATCTGAGTTTGGGTGTAGAGTGCTTATTTAAGAGAATGCACACTTCCCAGTCTAAGTCAGGGGACAAAATGATCATAGAAAATTGAGATAATTTCCTTAAATAATTCTCTAAAGGGCTAACAAACATTCCTCGAGAATTTACAAACAGGAGGTGTAGACAAATGTTGTCAGAAATGAAATCGTTGTAGCACCGAAATGTCTTTAAAAAAAAAAAATAAACTGAGGTGGATTTCACCGCTGGTACTGACATATAGCTGGCTGCAAATCAAAGCAAATAGAAAACGAAAAAGCTAATTTTTTAAAACTTTGGGGAGTGGGACAAGGAGAAAGTTTGATTCCCCTACGAGGAAAAGATCCATAAGACTTCGGCTTTTGTGCCCCATTTTCTCTTCTACTTATCTGTGAAAATTATGTTCCACATTGTCCCGAGCCAGTTTTAGCCAAAAAGAAAAAAAAAGCCCAGAAAATGCGACGTTGACTATAGCATAGATATGTATCGATTTGTGGTTGCTCAAGAATGCTATTTTGCAAAATTCATTTAAATCTTTACTTTAAAGATTAATATTGCTCTTAAAACTCACTCCAGCCAAGTTCTGAGAAATATTGCTGACGACCTGTTTAAGGCAATCCAAAATTCAGTCGAAATATGACAAGGATGTATTTCCCCACGCTTTGGAACGTCGAAAAAAATGTCTGCAAAAACGATTTTTAATAAGGCACAAAACAAACTATGAGGCAAAAGTGTCGTAAAGTTTAGACAGCTTAAATATACATCACCAGACCTGTATTTATTAAAATAAAGATGTTCTTCCTTCAGATGTGTTACTAAATGGCACACTCACCGACACAAGAATTGACGATGAACGCTTTCTTTTAGCTGCAGGAGCTTGCAAAAAAAGATAGTAAAATAGTCTAATCTAAAAAGAAAAGAGAGTAAAATCGGTTCACAACTGAAAACCTACTATCGTGATAAGTTCTATTTTATACCACGCGCTTCTGCTGAATATATTGTATAAAGAGATGTTTCTATCTTCATAAAGGTAACTGATAAATACGTTGATTGTATGGTTAGTAATGGTAAGGTTTATAAGTGGGTTAGGTGACCCCGGCACACTACCATTGGTTATCCATCTTTTACAGCAGTATGGCCACTCCCCTTGGATAGGGTGCTAACACTTGCAGGCTATTTTCAGTTCTCGTCAGGATTATCGGTCGGTATTAAAAGCCACGGCATGCAGTGTCAAACTATAAGTTTTAATTTAAAAACTTCAGAATTGTTTCCAAAAGCACGGCGATCTGAGCCAAAGTTCTTCCTTTGCACTCTATTAAGTCAGTCTAAATTGCAAAGGAATACCACTTTACTCAAGCTTAATCAGTTATAGATATAAAAAAAAGAGGACTAAGTTCTCTCCTGGTGAAAACCGTGTATAACTTTCAACACCTGTTGGTTCTTTACTCGAATTTCTTAATGCATATGTAAAATTTCCTTTTCCAGTATTTTGATATTTAAACACACTATCATTTGTCTCACGACTAGATAAGCTGGAGGGAGATATCAAGCTGTCACTAAATGTAGAGTCACTTGTCGCAGGTGGCGTGGAAAAGGACAAGAAGAAAGAACCCTACGAGAAGGGAGCTGTCACCAACAAGATATATCTGTGGACAAATGGCATCGTGCCTTATGTTATTGACTCAGCATTTGGTAAGATGCCATCAGGAATTCCAGAGTAAAGAAGCCTTTTTCCCTTTGTGGCGAATCAAAGAGTATTTCTTGATGGTCGGTCGTATACGTAATTGTTATCTTTTTAGAGACCGAGCCAAAGGGAGGGTTTGAGGGTCCTGGGGCCTGGACCCCTCCTTTTTTGTTAGATTTGAGATTTGTTAGATTTTGGTTGCGCCACGTTAGATGTTACCTAGGCCCCCCCCCCCGGTTTTGTCATATTCTAATGACCCACCCTCATTGGCAATCAATTTTCAATACTCTCCCCTTTATACTCTGTTTTAGACGAATTAATCTCACCCTCTGTTCGCTCTGCAAACCATGCGATCCTCCCCCAAAAAAGATACTTCCCCCCCTTTCCCGCGATAAATATTTACTGTTCCCTTACTATCATGGGGAACGAGTTGTACTCTGAGCGGTACCTTCTCCCAGCAGTATATTTCCCACAGAAATTGTTTGCATTTTTTTTGTGAATATTGTAACTAGGCTTGCTGAAATGTGTTTGGTTTTTCTAGGTAGGTACTCAAGCGACAGTCAAGCCATAAAAGACGCAATAGCTTCTGTAGAACAGATCTCCTGTGTACGTTTCAAAACAAGGACAAACGAGCAGTATTACATAAAGTTTGTCAGGGGAAATGGGTAGGTGCAAAGTATAATCAACACTGAAAACAGCCGTGACCAAAACAGAAGGCACAAAAAAACAACAACAGAAACAACATTAACAACTTTGAAATGATAACTTTCCTCAGCGTACACACTCTAGCGGATCCCCATACCTAAGAAACTCGCAAAACTTGTCGACGGCAAAGTGACTTTAATTAATAAGAAAATTCTTTATCTTCGTGTGTTTCATTGACTGGTTATTTGATTTCTAGTCTAATCTAGTATTTCAATGACCAGGAAGTGGCCACCCTGATGATAATTTCCTTCGTCAGGATCAAGAAATAAGACACATCCAAATGTTATTCGACTGCATGTCATTCCGAACCCAATGCACATCATCCATTAGTGAGATGCCGGACTGTAGCGCACAGTGGTCTCAATCTTCAAATTTCATTCTGTCCCGCCAACTCCAATTACTCTTAAAGAACGATGAAACAAACATTCCTTCCATTTTTCAATTCAACCGACATCAAAACAATACCATGACGTCAAGTTCGCCTGACACGGACACTTCGTTTGAAACAAGGTCGTACTATTGTCGTGCGGTATGGCAATCGTGTCAAATAGTCGTGCCACACTTGACATGGTTTGGTGACTTCAATGGTTTCAAACGTCGTGCCATTGCCATTCTTACATTGAGTTTAACCATTGCAACGGTGTGAGGTTTGGAACAGACCCAAACTACTATCACATATTTTACACTCATCCTAAAATCGCTGGAATCATCATAACTTTATGAGAGTAATTACCTAAACAGTAGGTTATATTTTACTTAAGGTTTTCAGCATAAAAATATATATACTCGCCTCATTAAGTGATTTACTCGTTCAGCGTTTTGAGAACCAACGTCCCAACTGCAGTTAATAGACAAAAATAGCAGCTGAATATTGAGTCATATTTTAACCATTTAACAAATCGAGATTAAGGGATGGAAATAGGAAGTAAGTATAAAAGGGCTCATAGGCAATTAATACCACGACATTTTATGATAATAAATATTAATAATGAATGTTTTCTATTTGTATGATAACCAGCTGCTGGTCCTACGTTGGTCAAGTGCACATGTCTGGAGGTCAGCCACTCAGTATTGGAACAGGATGTGGTTTTATTGCAACGGTATTACATGAACTCATGCATGCCCTGGGATTTTTCCATACCAGTTCACGTCATGACCGCGACTCATATGTTGTCGTTATTTCTAAAAATATCATGAAAGGTAAATATATAAAGGGGGTAAGTTTCTAAAGAAACTGTGTTGTTGCGTCGTTGGGAGGCTATAACAGGGTAATTCAGTTTTATCAGCTGAGTTGATAAAGTAAATTGGCTACCGTAAAGAGTTTGAAACTTGTCGTTTCGAGCGTTAGCCCTTTGTAATTCTCTGACGAAGGGGCTAACGTCAGCTTTAAAACTCTTTACGGTGGCCAATTTACGTTATCAACTCAGTTGATAACACTAAATTACTCAGAGGTTTTCGTTCTCTGTCTATAAAAGCGCAAATAAAATACTTGGACAAAATTTCGCCATGGTTACCTCACCGGCTTGATTAATATTTGATGATCGCTGTGGTTTTTCAAAAACTCTATTGGTAACCCATAAAAGTTATGAGCCTAACACTTTCTTTTCTTTACAGGCTATGAAGCAAATTTTAAAAAATATAACCATGGTATTGTAGATAGGCTGGAAGCACCGTATGATATGACGTCTCTGATGCACCTGCCAAGGAACGCCTTTAGTAAAAATGGTCTGAACACTCTGGAAGCACGTGCTGGACCAAACGTGCCATTAGGAAGAAGAGATCGACTGTCTGAAATTGATAAGGCCCAGCTGAATTCACTATATAGCTGCACAGGCTACCCAAGTTAGTCAATGTTCACGCCGTCCGTTTCCCATTTTAGTTGGGGAATTGCATGTCAGATAGCAAAGGAATGTGTGCGAGTGTGATTATAGGCAAACGGAAAGTAATTACATCAGGAAATTGGAGCTTTAATTCACATCACAACGAACTAATGAGAACTCCGAAGGGTCTTTTAAAAGCGTTGAAAAATGCAGTTGACCAAGTTTTGAACTCAAATCACTGAGCGTATGTGGTGCGAATTTGTTTCCTGTTCTTTTTCTTGAATAAAACAAACCAAAATGGCATAGATCGAGTCCGTGAATATAATCAGTCAGCATGAAATCCTGGGTTAACCTCATTTCACTTCAAGGAAAAAATTTTTCAGTGTGAAATGAAGGCGTTTAATCATGTCCATGCGCCTTTGGTCTCCAGTGCTTGTATATTTCTGTTGAGCGAAGCTAACTTGCATCCCCCTTGTGAAGCCTCCATTGATTGCAAATTATATATTTTTATTATTGTTACAAAAGCACCCGTTTTTTAAATAATTCTAGAATGTTACGACATTTTCTGTAAATTTTATACATACTGTTCCACACTGTAAGCATGCGAAGAGAGAAACATGTAACGCATGCAACTTGCATGTTGGGCATCCTATTGTGTGGTCTGATTGATTTTTCAAGCAGTCTCTTTATTCCCCGGATAGATTGTTACAAGGCGTTCGGTATGGAGTCTTTTAAAATCCCCGACTCCAAAATAACAGCCAGTTCGTATAAAATGTATCACGAACCTCATCAGGCCAGGCTACATATGCAAGCCAGCGCTTCTGGGGACGGTGCTTGGTGCGCTGGTCAGAATCTACACCAAGGAGAATGGCTACAGGTACATGATTCACATCACACAATCTAGCAATTTGTGAAAAAGTACATTTTGAATGATTAACCCGCAGGGAATGTTAGCTACGAAGACTATACGAAGAGGCAGTGGCCAAATTGTTTGTGCCTAAGAATTAAGACAAAGTCTGATTCGAGCCCTAGTCGAAATCATTCCTTTTGTGTTTTAGTAGACTACAAAGCATCTTGTACTCTGGAAGTGCCTATCCTTCTTCAAGATTATGGAGTGGTGTAGGCGAGTTCTCTTTAAAGTCTGACGAAACTGTAGGGCTGTGGGCAGCCTAAGTGGTTTAGTTCTTATATAACAGCACTTACAGTTACAGATTAATACCAAAACTTCGCTTGGACTAACACCCTATCTAAAACATTTGCAATACTCTATAGTCGTTAGATGGTACGGACGTGGGATTAACTCCCACAGTTTAAGGCAGAGGTTTCACCCTGCATGCTGGTGATTTTATGTGCCTCCTTAAGACCTGAGAGGCGAGGACGCGAACGGTTTGGAACTAATTTCTCCTAATTTTTCCTTTCTAAACCTCTCGCATCTTCACCACTCGTGTTTTTGGCTCCGCCACCCAGCGTTTCAAAGCAAATTCAAAACAGCTGGCCACGCAGAATTTATGACTTCACCAGGATTTATCAACACCCAGTTTTACAACGCTTAAAGAGGAGCAGTGAAATCCGCAAATTTAAAAAATGAATATTTTGTTGTCCTTTTAGCTGAATTAATTCTCTGGCCTGATATGTGTTCTCATTTTTTTTATTTTGATTCAGGTGGACCTTGAAGGAAAAAAAGTTGTAACAGGAATTGCAACCCAGGGGAAATTGGGTCTGTTCGTCAACGCGTGGACAACATTCCTTGAATTACGGTACAGCTTGGACCAAAACACATGGTATCCAGGATTTAACGGCCAGGTAAACCGTCAGGGTGAAAATAGCCAGACTAAATATATCTTGTACTTTAAAAGCCATGTTCCTAGAATATCCGTAAAACCAGGTCCATATCGGTACGTACAAGTTTGACCATCAATTTTAGATCACTATTTAGAATAAGTTCCATCCTGTTTCTTTTGATTTATTTGCTACTGTTAGGTGTTTCACCAGGCAAAGGATTTCTTCAAGGTTCAATCTATTTAAAGCAATTCTCTAAACGTTTCTAAAAGTGTCTCCTCTAATATCTATGTGCTTGCCATTAATCTACACGCGTCACGTGTCCAAGTATGCCCTAACGAAAGATTATTAAAAAAAAAAGGAATATTGGAGAATACTTTATTCTTGGTTATTACCTTGGAAGCTCACAAAGAATTTTCCTTGATGGGGAATGGCTTCTCTTGCGTACTCGAGTGACATGTCACATTCAGACATTCAGTTCAAAAGAGGACTAAAAGAATGAACATAAAATTCAAAGTCATTTGTTATGATAAAGATTGCATGTGTGCAAAATCGATCGTTCATGTACAGAAGTAACCTTCATCCATGCCTATTTTGACAACTTAATTTATATACATTATTTTCAGTTAATTTCTGCAAACTTTGACATGAATTCGGTTCAATATAATCGAGCGCCAAAGCCTTTCACCGCACGCTACGTGCGATTTGAACCGATGTTTTGGTACAACGAGATTTGTCTCAGGGTGGAAATATACGGCTGTGACGGTGAGTAAAATATTTGACTTAGACAAAACTTTCTTCGCGTGGTCCGAAGTACCGTGTAATAGCTCTAACCTTAAACAGTGACAAAATTCAAGAAATAGCTAGAGCCCAAATGTAGTAGCAAGAGAAAGAAAAAGTGTGCTGGGAACTTGATGTGTTAGGCTCTGTTCACAGTTGCTTTGCCAGTACAGGAAATGATCTAGGTATTTTTTCAATACGAGGTCAAAACTTTGATTCAGTATACAGAGAATTTTGTTTACACAAGAGCCTAAATAGACTAAAAAATATCTGAAGACAAGTAAATTTAATATACTTCATATTGAGTAGTAACATGCGATCATAGCGTTGCAAGAGTTTTGGTGTCAGACATGTGATTTAAAGTCCATTGATATGAAGGGGGGGAGGAAGGTCTTAACTCCCCAGACCCTCCCCCTAGACAAACGCTGTTATAGCAAATGGAAAAAACGTTATTGGATATGCGTTCCAATTGTTTTTATCATTTTTATCATTTTTCCTTTCAGCTTGATTGCATGCAGCTTCTGTGCCTCCAGAAAAAAGTTTTAAATTTGCCACCAAAACAGTTGTCAAACCCACATTCATCAAGGGCAGTTACTCTCTCGAAACTTTTCAACTCAAATTGTCAGAAACAAACCTCCCCTAAATGGAGGATTAATTTTTATTGACAGTCTCTAAAAAAGGAACCATACAGGCGCCGCACTGAGTGTATTATTTGTGGGCTGTGCCCTTTGATAACGGGAGTAGTAATAAATATTATTTTTGTTCGTTGACGTATATTTGACATTCCACCGTTATCTTCCAACACGTAAGACTATCATTATGCAACCATCCAATATTCAATATAACATACGCAAACTTCGATATGTGCAATACAATTAAAAAAAGAAAATAAGGCGAAAAGAAAACTGTAGATTTTTACGCGAGAAGATCGAAAAAAATTGTCCAACAGATTCCTATAATTGAATTAGTTTCTTATACGCCGGTTTCTATCTGTCAGCGAAACACACACACAAAAAAATTCAGAATTAATTTCTTCCTCATCTCTATCCAAATTCTCTGTTTTTGTTTCGTGTACTGCAATGTTTCGTTGAATTAACACAAAAAACAAAATTCATCTCCTTCAAAAGGCACGCTTTATTTCTCACAATCGATACATTAACACTCTATTAAAGAAAGACCTATTCTGGAAATCTGTTTTCCTGTTTTGGAAACCTGTTCCAAAAACATCTTTTACGACACTCCTCTACAAACATTCTACAAATATTATTCCATATAAAAAATGTTTCACATTTCATAACGAACGACCTGACCTTAAACTGCTTCACTTCACATTTAGAGATTGCTACTTCTTGCGAATCACTCAAAACCGGCAAACCTCGAACGATGGTGTGTTTGATTCACAAGTTGAACCAGACACGCGTAGTAATTCGTAAAAAACCTGGATGGCCAATCCAATTGGTCCTTGAAAGATGTACGAATGACTACTTAGGGCGTATAAAGTTTGATAACTAAGTGTTACGGTCATCCATTCGATATCACTCTTTGAAGAAAATTGATACAGAATCCAATTGTCTCTTTGTCTTACTTCTCTTTTACCGTGAAGCTAGAAGCTTGGTAGTGTGAGCAGTTAAGGAAAGATCATTTGAAAAAGAGAAGGAAGTTGAAAGGTAGACAAAGTAGCACTGAACACACGCCATGAATAGATGTGTTATAACTTAACGCTTCTTTCATAAGTGCCATCCTCACTTAAGTGTCAAACACTTCTACCTAACCAAAAATTAAACGATACAAATTCATACCATACTATTATAGCAAACAGAGAAGACAAACAGTAATTTAATCGTGTAAAAACTTCAGCCGAATTTGCTTTCAGATACAAAATTGCATAGCTAATTCAGTGTGACGACTTCTGAGACAATCGTTAACTGCCATAGTGTTCCTTAACCTTATTTAGAAGCGAATCACACATGGTTTTAGCGTCACCCAAAAGCATGCAAGTGTTGGGTTTGTAGAACACTGGGTTATCCACATCTGCGTACCCGGTGCCCAGAGTGCGCTTCATCACGATCACCTGTCGATTAAATATGAATTTGGTTACTCAATTTCAAAGCGTTACAGTAGCAACTAGGCTTATACTGTATACTGGCTTATCGAATAACGACGACCTCTAAGCTCAAGTATTCCTGTCTCACATAAAATGGGAACGTTGGGTGAAAATATACCCATTCTTTTCCATCATTCCTGTCAATAGGGTAATACGGTTACTTGGGGTGCAAAATTTTTGTTGGTCGGTTTACTCAATGACTACATTTCGTTATGTTACCCAGCTTTAATAGGAACACGTTATCACCGCCATTTGCAATCTTGCTTAGGTAGAAAACATTGACGAAAGGTTTTGGCCGGCCGTTCTTAAATCCTTATGTAGACATGACGTGGAATAAAAGGGTTGTTAATTCAGATATCAAACAAAAAAAGACAAATATATAAAAAAAAAATATATAGAAAACTTCAAGCAACTCGCCTGCTTTGCTTTCCAAACTTCCAGAACAGGCATGCCCGCGATAACAGAGTTGGGATCGTCTTGGGCAGCGGAGTTGACTGTATCGTTCGCACCGATCACCAGAGCGAGGTCGGTCTCGGGGAAGTCTTCATTAATTTCGTCCATCTCTAACACGACGTCATAAGGTACTCCAGCCTCAGCTGTAACAATAAATTGACACGTGTTATTGTTAGCGTCGGTGCATAAATAAAATATTAATATTTTTCCGCGCTTTTTCGAGGAAAGTAAACTGGAGGCATTGTACATAAACATAACTGGCTTATTTTGAGCCTGAAATTTTCTAGCTCTTGATTTGTGCTGTCTTATGAGTAAAAATCATCTCTTCATAACTGCTAAAATAAGACTGATTTGCTGTAAGCAATAACGTTACATACTCGTGCAAGAATACTGAAAGGAGTTTAAGGCAGACCACCTTTTCAAATGAAGAAATCTTCTGAGCGTTAAGAGTTCCTTCCCTTCTACATGCGCGCAAAGATAAACGAGCTAAACCACGTCAGAATGTAGATTCTCTCACAAACGTTTTCTTTCATCCCTCATGTTTGGACTGCTGCAAAAGAAGACGACTTCCACGGAACTTAAGTTCACTTACCCAGCAATACGTTCAGCTGTCCCGGCATACGTCCTGCGACGGGATGGATCCCGAAGCGTACGTTGAGTCCTCTTTCTTTGAGCTCTTTGACCATGTCAGCGATAGCGTACTGCGCCTTAGCCACAGCTAATCCGTATCCTGGTGTGATGATAACATTCTTTGAAGATGTCAGCATTTCTACGGCGCCTTCCGCATTGATCTCCGTGTGAGTCCCGGTGATCTTTTCCCTTTCACCCGTGCCTGTTACAACAGAAAATAATGACAAGTTAAGATAATTAACTCACCGTGAAATACACGGGGAGGGGTTGAAAAGTCTCCAAGCCGGAGGCTGTCGCAGATGATTGAAGCTTAAAACGAAAAACTGCGAGTCGCTGAGCGCGTGCGTCTTTCATGTGTTATTCCAGTTTATAATAAAGTTCGGATATAACGCGCGCTGTCATTGGTTGAAAGAGCGTGCTCTATGAGAGTATAGAGCATAGAGCTGAGCTAAAGCTGTCACGCCATCTGCCATATTGTAGCATGTTCGACCTTTTCCGGGACTTCTTTTTAGCTTTTTTCCGATAATTGAAGGTGAAATTTCGGAACAAGCGAGCCGGCAAGTAGCAACAGAAGAACCAAACAAACGTTTGTAAACATACCAGGCGCCGTGATTTACGTTATTAAAACGTGAGCAGATACGAAAATCCTCAAAGGAAAAACAAAATAGACATTCCGGGTTTAAAGATTTTCACGCTCAGTTAGATTGCAAGCTTACCTACGGTAATAAAAATCAAACACAGCTAACACTCGTATAGTATATAAAGTTCAGTGTTCAAAAACAAAACAGAAAAAAACAGAAATGATGAAAAATATAACCAAACTGGCATAATTGTTAAAATTCATACTAATCATGACGGTGTCTGAGCGAATATGATCATGCTGAAGTTCATCGCGGCTCGCTCATCATGGCGATCTCCAGTCATCACAATAAAGCAAGCCTCAGAAACTACATCGGCCGCCCTTCGAGTGAAAAAATAAGAGCTTGCTCTGATATCCTTTCCGATACGTTGAGTGGAAAGTCACATCAGTCACTGCAGCCGAGTTTTGCGGCGCTGTCATCCCGCGCGATCTTCATGTTCTGGTGAATTCGGTTGTCGTTCATTCAACAAGCACTCGCCTTGAACAGTTTGTTTTCTACCTTGTCATGTGAAAAAACTCACGTGTTTTTATGAGCCATAATTCGGCTGAAGTTCACGGATCATTTCACTTCAAGATTCTGTATTAGAGACTTAAAAACTTCAAGCAAAAGTGAGTGTTAAATTCGACTTGCCGAACTATTTTAGTTTGTAAACTATCGTAGAATGTGAACTTTGATGGTTTGACACTTTTGACAGCTTTAGTCTTGTACAGCCAATCAGATTATTTGAACCATTCTAACAGGGATTCTGATTGACTTATTGTAGCGTGCTTTATGAGAGTATAGAGCATGCTGACGACACTGTTGTTCGCTTTGGAAATAAAGTTTGTTTTGAAAATTGAATGTAATGCTTGGGTAATTTAACGGATTCTTTATTATAAAACAAATAGAGAAGCCTTGACTGTGCTCTGTTCTGTTATAAAGCACTTAGGAAGCGGCTAGAGCACTCAAGAAGTGGGAAGAAACACTCGACTACGTCTCGTGTTTCTCCCTACACTTCTTTCGTGCTCTAGCCGCTTCCTGCGTGCTTTATAACAGAACAGAGCACAGTCAAGGCTTCTCTATTTGTTAATTAACCGGCATATTAAGTAACTAATAAAAATCGACGCGCGCGCGCGGTACGAGAATTACACCATCATAACTGCTGTTTCCCAACTTCAATAAACAATCCGCGGAAAATAAAGCAGATTAACCGTACACTGCATTGAGGCATTTTCCGCATAGGTTGTGGGAAATGCAACAATAGTAATACACCTTGCTTATAATAAACAGTTCCTTCAGCGACAAAAGAATAGTCCTATCGATGAAGAATGACATTAATAAAGAAATTACGGCAAAGTCTCATAATCGCTCGTTAGTAGATTTACGTCATAATAGCAATCGTTAATTTGAGACATAATTAAGAGTGAAATGATTCGCTTTAGATTCTAACAACAAATGAATTCTCCTTGAAGTAATGTTTTCTTCTTTGTCCAGCCTTGTTTGGGGATCGTCGGAGGGAAACCAAGAGCGTGTGAACAGCGATCAGGTATTGTTTGACGACTCCAAGGTTACAGAGGACGACTGGGTATTGATCGAAGAAATACGGAACCATGGCGAGTCTGCACACGAAGACAGACGGGTGCCGTCTCTTCAAACCTTGCCTGAGGCCAAGGAATTGCAACTCAGTGACAGCGTAGAAGATAACTCTACAGCGCCGGGATGTTCCTCACGAACTGCTAATACAGATTCGAACGCAACAACTTCTCATGGGTTTTTGTTCGCTGAGAAACAACCAAATATAAGCAACAAGTCATCGCTGGAAATCCTCTTTGCCGAAGTTCAGCCGAATAAAACCGAAAGCAAAGAGATCTCCGACTGCTCGATGAAAACCGACGAAACTGACGTCGGCGAGAAATCTTCGCTGCAATTTCTTTTTGACGAATCGTTCCACGGCGACACTACAACCGGTGGACAGAGCGCTGCATCGCAATTCTTCATCAAACCGATGCCCGATCCTCCAATTATTCAAGTTCCAAGTACTAGCCAACCACAACGACAATTCAACCACAGATCGTACAGCGCCGACTATTTCCGAGGAAATCCCGACGTAGTTGTTGAGCCGACCGTGTTGAGGCGTCGTCACGTGAGTAGACTTTCTAAGCGCTCAGGTGATTCTGCGTCTGCCATGGTTGGTCCAGTTGTGGTTCAAAAGAAAACGAAACTTCCTCCTGAAGGAACTTCCAGTGTGGTGCGTGGAGACGATACAAGGAAGAGAACCAAGCGAGCTAACAGCGTTGCATGCATGCAAAGCAATAACACTCACGGAAGAAGAAGAAAGCGGACGGCGGACAAGTGTAGTGGAAAAGGTGGCCGAAGAAACTGTTAGCAATCTCCTTTTAACGGATGTTGCGTCGATATTATCGGACATGCTGAGGTGACTTCAAGTCAATCTGCTCTTGGATGATGCCGTGTTGCGTTTACAGGTTTTCTAGTGCACTAATTCTTCACACCTTTACCCAGTAATCGAATCAGTGAGTTACACTTTCGCATGTTTAACTAACCGTTGTCCTTCCTTCTCAATAAAAAAAAACCTAAACCAACTTTTCAAAATCGTTGATGACGCTTTAATGACGTAGTCACTGCACCCTTGGCCTCGAAATTGAGAAGTTCTATGGAATGGTAAAACTAAAAAAAGTATCCTGATCTTCTCAACCGCTTCGCTCAACCGAGTGTAAATAAGAAAAGGGGGGTAACTTTCTATAGAAACTGTGGTGCTGCGTCGCTGAGGGTATTACAAAATAATTTGGTTTATCAACTAAGATGATAATATAAACTGGCCACCGTTAAGAGTATCTGAAGCCAGCGTTTCGAAAATTAGCCTTTCGCTTTTTTTTTTTTACCAAATTATCGAGGATAAACCAGCAAAACTTTCGATTTTGGTAATAGAACCAAGACGGAAAAAAAGTACGGAGATGAAATGCACATCACGGTATTTTCGTGATAAAAGATCAACTTCATTATTCACGAAATAATATTTTGCGTTAGACGAGAGCATAAGAGTTCACCTGCAGCCCGCTACAGTTTTACTGTTGAACTATACATAGTGGGTACCGTGAACTGTCGCTTATACAACTTCGTAAGGGGTTTTAGGAGGGCTTATATCTGGAATATGTAAAGCGCTTCGAAACGAGTTCTAGAAGTGCTGATCAAAATAGGATTTGTGTTTATACTGGTTTTTAAATAAGCTTCAATACGTCAAAACAAATCAAATTCATTTCAGTGCATTTGGAACAGAATTAACTAACAACAGCAACAAAGTTAGAACATAACAAAACGGAAGCTCAGACTTTTCCTTTTAGGTTTGTCTTTGATAATTGAAAAGAGGTAATAAACTTATTGTCCCACAATAAGTTTTCAAATTTTCTGTTTAAAGTAGCCCACTCAGAACAAGAAAAGCTAGAGGAGGAGGGGCTTATATCGGGGGTGGGGTGGGGGGGGGGGTGTTAACAATCGGATGTATAATATATTAAAGTTCACACAGCAACCAGGTGGACAATCAGACATAGTTTGAAGCTACACTGGTTTGCAGATTTAATGAATGTAACCGAAGAAGTTACAATTCATAGACCCAACGTTTCGACACTCCTGTCTAGTGCCTTCATCAGGGGTGATCTAAGCGCTGCAACAAGAGGTCCTTTTATATGATCACTAATTAGCGGCCTTTTTTTCTGACGAGGTGTAAATAGGCGTCAGGAAGCAGACCGCCATCGTCACGATTTAAAGGAGCGTGGGCGGAGTTAATGTGCCATACTTCTTCGGTTACATTCATTAAATCTGCAAACCAGTGTAGCTTCAAACTATGTCTAATCGGATGTATATTTTTGTTTACAGGTAGATGGGTCGGGGTGGGGTGGGGTGGGTGGGGGGAGGATTATGAGCAACAGTTTACGATATCTCAAGTTCATCAATAAGAACATTGATTAAAACTGTGCAGACTTACCAGTAGACAATGTTCCGTATCCACCGAACAGAACATTAGCTAAGGACCGATTCATAGCCTTGCACATGATATATGACAGGATTCCTCCAGAGAATCCCACAAGAGCTCCCACGATGGTCAGCAAATCGTTGTTCAACATGAACCCCTCTGCACAAAGAGCCCAACCACTGTAGCTGTTGAGAACAGTGATAACCACAGGCATGTCTGCTCCACCAATCGATGCTGTCATGTGCACACCCATGATGGAGGACAGCGCGGCGGTAGTACCTACAGTTCACAAGATAAAAAGCAAATAGTAATCAGATGTGTTAGTAAACATGTTTTGCATCATGCTAGGGACTTAATTGCTTTATGAAATCAACTTGTCTTTTCAAAATGTTTCTGTCCATTCTTGGTCGAAGAAGGTAAATGGAGTAAAACAATAAGTTAAGAATACAACAATTTTTTTTAAAGTAGAGTGAGGTAGTCATAACGCATGGTAAACTTGTGGAAAGCGCATTTCCTTCAACCCAAACAAGAATCTAATTTCTCCTCAAGCATTTAGGTTATGAGAATTAAAGAAATGGTCACCAACTAAAGAAGCTCTTGATTGTTAGAAAATTTCTCCTCGTCAGCACCTCAAGAAATGTATGGAGAACAGTATGGAGAATATGCCTCGCGAAAACGAGACTGTAACATGTAAAAAATTTTAAAACATACTTACCCAACATTGGTATTCCGACTGCAGCACTGTCGGTACCCATATACCAGCCCATAGCTGCAACATTGGCCAATGCCATGCCAATATTCAGTTGGTTTTTGATAGGTAGATTCAAAGCCTTCGAGTCAAGCAACCCGTGAAGCTTGCCAAATGCCACCAGAGAACCCGTGAACGTCACTCCACCAATAAAGGTGCCGAGAAATATAGCCGCTTTATGGACATTCCCTGAAGGATCGTCAGCAAAAAGGTCCACATCAGCCAAGTACTTAGCAATGGCCGTAAGAACTGCAGCCAAGCCAACAAAACTGTGGAATGCTGCAACAAGCTGCGGGAGATCGCTGACAGCAATGCGACTGGAGATGATGGCCCCAATGGTGCCACCCACACCCATCATGGCACCCATCTGTGTCAGCACATCATGGGAAGGTGCCAGAGCACCCATTGTAGCCGTCATACCGGTACCTATCCCGATAATGCCTGTAAGCAATCAATAATAACTGGGTTAGCTACTATCAAACTGAATATGAGCGATTACAGAAAACAGACCGAACGTTTATAGGTAAGGACAAGAGAAGAGAAAATTTCATTACGGCCTATTTTCTGGACAATCACTCCCGAGTTGCTTTGAGACATGTACATATACATGTACCTGACGTGCTGCTTAACTGTTTGGTGGAGAACAAATTAATAGACGCCGTCTCAACGCCCTAAAAATAAAGCCCATAAAACAGGAGAGGTAAAATCAAAGCACTGTGCGATTTAGGTATGGATCTCCTTTCTTCTTTGCACCCTTCCCAACAAAACTAGCCCTTCCTTAACAAAAACTTGTTTTATCGGTATATGCACTGCACATAGCCATACGACTCTCCCTGAGAAAACTACAGTCCAGTGTTCACTCGAACATTACTATGTTTTCTCGTCTCGAAAGTCTCGAAACTAGCCTCTAGCCTCGATTCTCGACAACTTCGAGGATTGAGGATCGAGTTTTTCGAAGGCCTGTCAACTTACCTCCGCGCGGTATTTAACAAAATACTCATCAACATACCAAGGGCATTTCCTTGTCTGGCCGTGGTCTGAGCAGAAAGGCCCCCAAGAGCACCAACACAGCACAGTGACGAAGCCAAGTACGCCATCTGATCGATATCAGGATACCCAGCCATCTTACCCGCAGCATAGCCACCAAGAACAGCTGCCCCAGGGATGGCATATAGGTAGGTGTACTCAGGGGGGTCATCTAAGAGAAAAATTTATTAGAAACCACAGTCATGTTTATCAACGGTTTTATACAAATGCAGATAGATTATTATAAAAGTGCCCTCTGAACGGTAGATTTTGGTCAGTTAAAGGCATTCTGTGAGAATATAATATTATACTTCTTGATACAGTCCTGATAAAAATACTAGCTTGTATATGAGAACAAGAAAAAGGTGAGGCTAAGGGAGACACATACTCAATCTACATTCATGTCAACACAAATCCAAATCTACATTATAGCTAAGAGAAGATTGCATAATAGCAGTCTAGCCCAGACAATCTGCAGCCTAACACTCTTGTTGACCTTCAGTGTATAATACTGTTCACACTAGCAGATAAGCTGTACTTGCAGATAAGCCGCACCCTGAGTTCGGCAACTCAAATTTTGGGAAAGAAGTTGCAGTTTATCCACTAGTGTTTGGGATATGCGGTTTCCTTCTCAGTAATTGAAAACCTTATAAACTTTGGCAAATAAAAATTTTGTTTTTCTAACTCAGTCGAGCTTAAGTGCAGAAAAAACATCTGTAGTCTTTTGAAAAAAGCCCAAATAACCTTCTATTACTTTCTGTGTGTCAATGGAACATTTTAAAACTTTGTCTTGAACTGCAGGGTAAAGATTTCAAATAGAGAAATGATTACCACAATGTTAAAATATGAAATGTAAAAGACCTTTCAGTGCACTGCTGAAATATTCATACAGATGCCTATATTTTACAAAGCAAAATCATTTAACTCTTTAAGTACATCAGTGAAGCACTCATACCTGGCCTCCTAAACATATCCAACATGCGCTTAGTGATGATAAATCCACCTGTGATGTTTATACTGGATACCAAAGTTGCCATTGCAGCAAGGGACGTCGCAGTGTTGTTTGGTAACACCCCTCCACCCATAAGCACCAGCCCCCCTGCTGCTGTGATACCTGATATAGCATTAGTTACGGACATCAGGGGGGAGTGCAGTGCAGGTGTCACACCCCAAACAACCTTGTAACCAATCACACCAGCTAAAGAGAAAGTGGTTACCATGGTAGCAAAGGCAGGATTGGGTGAAATGACTCCCAGGCCAAGAAGAGAACTGAGGCCAGCTGTGGAGTAAAACAGACCAAACATTGTGTTAAATAATAACCCCTGTAGATACACTACAAAGTGAAAACACTACAAAGAATTCTGGTACGATTAGGAATAGTGGAGCACTCCATCAAATTGGATTAAAAAGAAACAACTAGCTCGTACCCTTCCATTGCTACATTGAAAACTATGTGTTTTTCAGTAATCTTACTTTCTTGACCTTGCACTTGGCCATGAAGCAAACAGATCCACAAAATGCATCACTTACAGTGTATACTCAACTTAACTAATAAAAATTAATGCACTGCAATCAGACAACAGTGTCTATGTAACATGTACACATATCATACCAGCCACCAATACAAGTCATTACACATTTACATGCACATGTGCAGGTACACTTTACTGTTTGCACTTTATTGCATATCAAAAATATGTACATGTAGAGCACATGGCACTAGCAACCAACCCAATGTACAAGGGGATGAAATTTGAACTAAGACATGCCTCTCAGATTTTCAGCATGCCACTTATTTCCTCCAGTAAGTGCCAACCCCCTAGGCCATAATATAAAACAAGCACCTCTCTTGGATAAGCTCTATCACTCCCCCCCCCCCCCTCCTTCACTTAGGAAAACCTATTTTTGTTGCCCCTTCATTTATAACTTTTTAAGCTTCAACTAGAGCAGTATCAGCACAGGTCAGTAGTTTATTAATAATAGCACCCTTCCTATAAGCACCCTTCCTTTACGAAAAAATTTTAAATGGGCAACCAGGTGCTTATTCAAGAAAATACAGTAAACATAATTTTCAAAGGTCCATTCCCACCCCTATACAATCAATAATTGCCATACTTGCTGTCAAACCAGTCTCCCACATGGTGGCATTTAGTGGCGACTGCTCTGGTGGTTTCACAAGTTGTTTTGGCTTGGGTGGAGCAGGAGGGGGAACTTCAACTCTTGGAGGTGGCCACATCATCTCTCCATCTTGAAGAACAATGGAACCCCGCACCACTTCATCTTTCAGATCAATAGCAAATTCTCCTTTTCCTCCCATGGAGAGAAGGTACTTTGTAAGGTTGTTTGCATAAAGTGTACTTGACTGAGTGGGCAGGCGGCTTGGTAAGTCAGTATATCCAACAACCTGTTGGGGTTGATAAAACCAGATGAATTAGGGGAACAATTTTCTCATAACTGGTGTCAAAAGTAAGGAACAATTACATTAGTTAAAAGCTTTAATACCCTTTGGATGGTTTAGAAACCTAGTGCCACCTGTGATAAAGGCTGTTCACATAAGTTTACTAAAGGGTCCTGGGACCTTGTGCCCAGAGGAAAACAAAACCCTGGGTTCTTGGCCTTACAATGAACCCCTTGCCCCCCAAGAGTGACTAGCATCTAATTTCCCATTATAATATCACCCACGAATCAAAGTTGGGAGAATAAAGGAAATAAGCACCAAGTTAAGACTGAAGCTCCTGATTGTTAACCAGATTCTCCTTGTCAGTGAATATTAGGGTGTAAACAAAGTGTATCTTATATTAATTTAGTTAGTCCACCTAAAAAAAGAAGCAAAAAGCTTTGCAGCATATGGTGGAAATTTCATTGCAACTTACATTTACACCATTGTGATTATAAAGTTCACCGGGCTTGGTTAGTTCACAGTTGCCTCCAGTCTCAGCAGCTAAGTCCATGATCACTGAACCTGGTTTCATGGACTCCACCATTTCTTTTGTAATCAGTTTTGGGGCAGGCTTCCCAGGAATCAATGCTGTTGTTACAACAATATCCACCTCCTTACACTGCTTAGCAAATAATTCCATTTCTGCTTTTATGAATTCTGGTGACATCTCTTTGGCATAACCACCAGCACCTGTGGTAACACAAAAAAAATAAATTAACAATAAAAACTCATACAAAGATCAGCTTATGTCTGGCAAACAGCCAAAAATGTTCTCATGTAGTGGATGCTCATTTCATGAAAAGTATGCCCCAGAAACCATAAACTTTTTTGATTCACATTTAAAAAAAGTAGAGTTACATAAAATCTAATCAAACTTCGCATTTCCAAGAATAACCCAGCTATTCAAAAATTGTTGTCAAATGTACATAATTTGAGCACTTCTTGCACAGTTATTTCTTTTCAGCACCCGCAAGATTACAAATTAAGATGGCTAGCACTCTAAAGAAACCTACAGTTCTCCACACAACTTAGGTTTTATACATTTCCTTTAAAAATATATAACACACTGCTCTTATAGTTATCCCAAAGGGAAATTATCAATTGTAATGGAAGGTAATTAACAGTGTTTTTGTGTCCTTACTGACCTTCACCAGACTCTTCGATCCCAGTAATCTCCAGAAACTCTGCACCAAGAGATTGAACCTGTTCCTTTACAGCTGCTCTTGTATCAAAGCCACGCACAATTGCCCCCATGTTCCTGGCTGTAGCTATTGCTGATAAGCCAGCAACACCACCACCTGGTTTAATAAAAATAATTCATTAAAGTACATGTCAGTAATATTTCCTTGAATAGGTATCTCAAACAGAGCAAGTTAAAATGAAGTGATACAAGTAATCCAGGATTCTAACAGCTTTATTTCAGTTTGTAATTGTGATTGGTCTAATGCTAAAGCCACCAGGATTTGGCATCTTGTGTTCTCTCTCATTACTGCCAGTGTCCTTGTGACATTTTCCTTTGCTCTGATTGGTCATTGCAATAACTCTGGTTATGGATTTATGATACTCAATTGAGTATTTCAACTCCCAGAAGTGATATACATGTAACTTCTCCCTATAATATTCATGCACTATGCAACAAACAGATAATGAGAATACTCAGACTTTTCAGGTATATTTTTCACCATATTCTCAGAACTAGTTTACCAGGAAATTTGCAACAGGTAGAGAGGACAGTTAAAATCAGATCTTGGGACTTAAAGGGTTTAGTAACCACTTGTAAAATTTCTTGAATAATACTAATAGTAAAGCCCTTCTTTACCAAATGCCCAAGGAGTCAAATAGAATACAACAAACACAACCACAGCAAACACAACTACAAACACAACCACAGCAATTGGAAAAGAGGTACACGCATGCAAGAGTAATGAGGAGGAAAGTACCATCACTTTTATACACAATTTGTGCTACAAGCAATACTGGTACATTCTCTTTCAAAGATGAATTCTCTTGCAAGAGATTTCGCCATAATTTTTGTTTAAAATACAATATTAATTTACTGTTTATTTCAGAAAGAGAAGAGGGATAACAAGAAAAATTAATAAGGATGTGACATTCATTTACCATTGATCATACAATTCAACAATTAAAAGGTATACAAAGTCAGAAAAAACAAGGGGTTTAAAGAGATGCACAAATGTAAAACAATGGAACAGAGCACTAGTAATATGGTACATGAAAGGACTAGATAAGTTTTAATGATTACCCTTACCTATGACAAGAATCTTTGCTGGAGGAACTTTCCCTGCAGCAGTAATCTGTCCAGTGAAAAATCTTCCAAACAAATTTGCAGCTTCAATAACTGCTTTGTAGCCTGCTATGTTAGCCATCGAGCTGAGGGCATCAAATGTCTGTGCACGGCTTATCCTTGGAATACAGTCAACACCAAAAGCTGTTATTTTCCTTTTAGCTAATACATCCAGCAAATCCTTGTTTTGGGCTGGGTACAGAAAACTGATCAATTTGCCACCTTCCTTCATAAGATCAGCTTCATTTTGTTGAGGTGGCCGCACCTGATATGGAAAAATTAATAGTTTAAGCAATGCTCAATGAATTATGTGATATGCCTCTGAAAAAGAGAACACTCTCTACACCTAGAACTGAATCTACAGATGTATTCGCTACCCTGTATTAAACTGATAAAACTTTCTCACCTTAAGTACAATGTCTGAGCCTAGAGCCTCCTTTACTGACTTAACCTCTGCTCCAGCAGCAACATAATCAGAGTCAAGAAACTTTGCCCCAGTGCCTGCTCCTGCTTCTACCACAACATTAAATCCCTGTTTAGTCAACTGTTTAACAGCTTCAGGTGACAGCGCCACTCTTCTCTCTCCATCGTGGATCTCTTTTGGGACACCAATTGTCAGCTTGTCATAAGGGACACCACTAACTGACTCAGGCTCAGATTTATCTGTCACACAAATACATTAATTTTTGTACATTATCAGAATATGCATTTTGTTTTCTCTTTGAAGGAAACTTTTTGGCCAAATAACACCCTTCACAAAAAGTATTTTTGGTTATTGATAGGGTATAATTGATAAATTTCCAGCTCCTACCATAGGATATAAAGTTCTCACAATTTAACAACCATGTTTTAAAGAGCTCCCAAGATTATCTTTGTTTACAGAAAAGTCCTTTTTCAATTGTAGTTTCTTTCTACCAACATATGACCACTTGCTTTGTGTTTTTTAGATCATTTTAACCCAATTTATTTACATGAGCATGTTGAAAAAGTGATTAGGCATCACAAAATGCAATGACAGGAAGGTGAAATATATAGTGTTCCCAGGCTAAGATTGCTGGTATACCTTTTGCTTCATTGGCACAAAATCTTACAGTTCCCGCCAGAAGCTTTGGGTAGAAATAACAATCCTGAAAGACATAAAGCTTCATTGTAAACATTTATATTTTAAATTCTCCTTCAATATTTTCTGTAGATTGCACAGTTTTGTAGGCTTCTGTTGACTTTGTAAAAGTTGCTGTAATTATAGTCAAATCTGTGATGATTAACAGGGGATTCAATAACTTTTTCCATAAGCAGATGGCAATGGTGTAATACGCAGCTGTGCTCAGGAAGAGGCAAAAAGGCCAAACCCAAACACGAGAGCATGCTCCCATAAGAGGTCTTGTACACTGCAGTAAACTGCCAGTAAACAACTTTTCATAAAACTTCTGAATATGCAGGGCTCAAAACAAATTTTCTTGTTAATAAAGGAGCTGCTTGCCTACTTTCCTAAAATGAAAGCCACATAAAGGTGGATTATAATCTAATTTAAAAGGTAAAGCAAGTTCAAACATGTGAGTGTATCTGCAGGATAGTTGTAGCTGATTAGCACAATATACAGTTACTGTAGGTCAAAACCAGCTCAAAATTAAATAAATTCCAGGTATTCTTACCCCTTTTTCAAGTTCTTTTTTCCCCCAATTTTCACATTTTACAATTTTGTCAAACACTGAGAAATGTCAAACTATAACAACATGTAACATTCTATTGAAATTACCAAATTATCCAACAACACTAATGATACTTAGTTTTATACTTCACAAACTTTACTTTTTACCTTGAAAGTGGAACATCTTGGTGAACAAGTGGTCTTTCCATAGCTACCTAATACACTCTTAGTTCCTGAGAAACAGAATACAAATAACTAATGACCTCACTTGACACTGGGCAAAAGCAGTTTATCAGATTCAAAACTGAAATCTTGTTTATTTTCTTAAAAAAAAAAAAAAACTACTTGCTTAGAATGCTCTATTATAACCATACGATCTGAATTCATTTTCTGAATAGCATTATAAAAGCACATGATGAGCCAATCAGGTTCTAGGATTTAAGTTTCTGACCCACTGATATGCTTCAAAAAAAAAAAAAAAGAAAATAATTACTTGTCAATCTTGATATTCAACTTAACCCTTTAACTCCCAAGATCTTATTATTAATTCTCCCTCTAACTACACATTTCCTTGTAAATTAATTATGAAAATTTGGTGTTAGATCAAGATAACATAAGTACTCTCATTACCTGTTTGCTGGATAACGTATGGATATTACAGAGAGAAGTTATATGTTGATCACTTCTGGGAGTTAAAGGGTTAAACCTACCAAGTAAGGATTGTCCATGGAAGCGCCTGGCTACACTTAAGCCAGCTCTGAGGAACATTCTGATGCACTCAGGACCTGATGAGGTACACAAGGCAAAGTGGTTGAACTAATGTATAAGAAAAATGTGCTCAAGCATGTTATAATAGAGAACATGTAATTAAAAAAAAGATCCACACAGACTGAGGATTATACCTCTTTCAGTATATCATGACACTTTCCAGTAAACAAACATTTTTGGCAATAGTTTGCTTAAAGGTTTTTTTTTTTTTTCAAACAAACAAACCTATAACTACGCTCGGCTTATAGGCGAATAAATACAGTACTATGGTTTAAGGAAGCATTAAGCTCCAACAGCTATTATAGAACAACAATAAAACAGTGTTCCATTGTAGCTCAGCCATTTCAAAGCTACAAACCAAAAGGATATTCATTTAGCTGATAACTAGTTCCTTCCTTTTTGACTACTACTGAGAATTTAGTGTCAACATCACTTAATGTTCCTTAATTATCAGTTTGCTGTCTCCTTGATAGTGAAAGAACACAGTGAAAGAAATTCATCTTTTGGCATCTAGAGGTTGAGGGGTTAATAACTGGCTGATCAAGTTGGTTTTATTTCTAACTGATATGTAAAATTGAATCATGTTGAAACTAATTTTGACAAAAGGGGGTGTGTTAGAGGTGGGGTAAATAATGTATACTGAATGTACAGAGCTAATTATGGAAAGAATCTAACAAAGTAACACTACTCTGAGGGAAAGAACAAACCAAATGACAGAGACTCATAGAGCATCAATAAAGTTAATCACATATTAGTGCATTTGTAACAGAGGTAATAAAAACAACAGTAAAGGTAGCTTAGGTGCATAAACAGGTACCATGTTGTTTTGTCAAAATGTGAACTAATGCAGTAAATACCCTTTAGTAGCATATTTTCCAGTTCTCCAAACTGTTATTTTGAATTCCGTAAACTAACCTCATTTCACATATAGATCAAATGATTCACGGTGTATAAGTGCCAAATACTTTGAGGTGTTGAATATTGACGAGGAATGTATCGTGTATATTGTTTTATTTGGCTGGCGCCAGAGGAAAGAAGAAAACAAAAATTATGCAGACTGAGGGAAATTTAGTTAAAACTGCACAGCTCAAATAAAATGCTTATTTTGCGAGCTAAAACTAAGTTATATTTCTTCCCAATGTGATACATTTGCCCGCACATGCTAAGACCCAACGAATCAAGTATCTATCTCTCAAACAAATGGAACTCCGCTTGGATTGCACGCAATGCAAAATGTTCTGGAAGCCTTCACTCTTCTATCAAGTCGAAACAAACTTTGCAAATGTACGAAAGTACAATACTTTATAAATGTACGTGAGCTGCTGCTTTTAAGATGCTAGCACGGCCAGGGGTTTGAATGATTCATTGTACTCTTGGGTCCTTCGATGTGATGTTGTTTCAATTGTCGAAATAGGATCACTCAAAGGCTCAAAAGATTCTAATGAAAAAAAACCGCTCTGCATTTTCTACAGTGGCCTAAAAAGTTAACCTATCCTTGGGTTTGTAACCGCAGATCCCTTTGTTTTTATTCTTCCGCATATTAAATTTAACATGACCGTCCCTGAGGAGGACGCCATTTTTAAGCTGGCGTGCTTCACAATATTTCCGCTTGAGTCATGAGGATGAAGTGGAAAAAGAAACATAGAGCTGAAGTCTCACCTTTCTAGGAGTCCTTTTAAAGGACTTCCTCCTCGTTTATTTCCTGGAGTGAAAATTATCCTAATACGTAAGTCTGCAGCAACCCGAGCGTTCAGTCGGGCTCTCACAACAAGAACAAAAGGCTTGGCTGCTCAGTAAATAAACAGAAACAAACAAATGTCGGCGAATCAAGAATCACCAGCTCATTCCCTTGGGTGCAAACCCGCCAAACTTGAATAACTTGATTGATCGTAAGACACCGACCTTTCAAGACTCAGACTAATACCCAATTCACACCAGTAAACTTAAATGGAACCGAGTTTAACATAGTGAAAATCAGAAACAAACCTCTAAATAACTGAATTTTCCAGAGAATTCAAGTAGCCTCTTACATGCTACATTTGAAGTACCATCAAAAATATACAATAAGAACATTATCATAGCTATTATTAATCAGCTACACTGCTCAGTGAAGTGCAGAAATGTTTACCACTTCACGAATAACATGGCCTGAAGAGAAGAGGCGTGATTTTGGAGATCTTGTGCTCAGTACTTCGCAGGTAAACCTTTGTATCTAACCTCCCGAGAAATGGTCAACAGGAGGGAGGGGGGAGGGTGGGGCTTCCCCGCCCCTCCCCTACCGTCCACTCTAAATCTGTAAGGTCTTAAGTCAAACATGGCCGGCGGGATAAAAGATCGTGAGTTTGTAACGCTTACTCTTCCTAACGAGACGCCTGCACTTCAGGCTATAACTAACACCTGAAGTTCACATACCTGAATCAGTTCGAATAAGGGGAATGTTAATAATAGTGGCGCACGGGAACTGCTGTTCTATAACCCAATGCGGTCAAGTTGAATACACATAAGTCTCTCACTTTTAAGTGTGGGACTCATAAAAATACCCACGTGACTAAGTAAACATTTTGAATTAATATTTTATCTCCTTTTCATGCAGATTGAAACTGCTTTTCTCTTTCTAAGTTTAACATATTATCACACCTTCAGTAGAGATGTCCTGCATAATAACTGAAGTAACGACATTTTAGAAGGGACTGCTTTTAACTCAGACATTCATTAGCAAATAAGACTAAGCTGACTGTCAAAAATGGCGTTGAGATAGGTTCCTCAGTGACAATTTCTTGTTATCAGTCATGCTTGATACGAATGAATGTCTTAGGGCCGGTTCATAGGTAGAAAGAGGTAGAGTTATTATAGCGGACGAAAATACTCGAAGGCTCCTTATTTTGCAAAAGAATTCTCGCAGGTACAAAAGGAGGTTGCTCACAATGTAGCAATATGTGCCACAATCTGTGCAGAAAAAAGAAGGTTAATACTACAAATTATAGTTGTTAATGTCTTCTTTTGTCTTGAGAAAATGCAGCAAAAGAATACCGATCCTGCGGTATCAGATGACGTTTTTGATTTATGAAAGGAAAGGGAAATTTTCAAAACCTATTACAGCTCTTTGGATTGGGAAAGGAAAGATGATATAGTTTACTTGTTCCTAAAATTGCACATAAGTAAGCATAAAGCAATACTCATAGCAGGGTGGAAAAAGTACCTCAACAGCGTGACTACAAGTTCAAATAGGGAGTTTGAGCATGGGCGTCCCAAGC